CCAAAACCACTATTAATGTCATCATGACTGGTTGTTATAGGAACCAAAAGTGCATAGGTGCAGACAGAAGTGAGGCAAACAGAACTCAATGCAGCCAGTCATTTACTTAACAAGGACGTATCATTGAGTCTCAGAACTCCTTTTCAGGTCCTCCTGCATGATGATGTTGGGCCAATTCCACTCGGGGATGTTGGGCATATGAAATACTAAAGTTACATATATTGTGCTGTTACAATATTGACCAGCAGCGCGTTACATTATTAATTCTGAGTTTAAGAATTAAGATCCTGGTTGAAAAGCATGTGTGAAGAAACTGGAGAGAAAAACCAACACGCATACAAGGGAATAACACTCACATGTCATTCAGATAGATTAAAAATTCTGATGTACTGCCATCTCTTAGACAGCCCAAGCCTAAAACACATGGCATTTACCAAGCGAGTCTCCTATCCACGTACTAACCAGGATCTATCATTATGAACTTCTGAGATCGGGTTCATTCAGAGTTATTTGGTTAAAAACAGGTTTGGGAGACGGAGGCATGTAGACAAATGCAGACGGACTGACGCTAGGATGAAATTAACATGAAGACGAAGCAGACAGGTCATGATGACAAATCTCGAAGATTTAAAAAAAACAAGGAGACAGGCGGACAGGATGACGACAGGTGGACACAGGTCTAGCTGGATGACGGACAACTCTAACATGGCAGAACTGATGGGCACATTGGCAAGCAGGCTGACAAAACATCACACGCAGGAAGACTGGCACAAACAGGACGCTCAGGAAGGTAGCGCAAGGCACTGAGGAAGGGAAAGGCAGCCAGCAACGGGATATGAGAGGGAATACAGAATGACAGGAGGCGATCGTGTGGAGAGAAAAATTAAGCTGGTGGATGAGAAGCAGGCTGAGGATAGTGAACATGAGTTAAAGATAGTGCAAACGCGAGATGAGAGGTGATGGAGAGGAAGATGTAAATTGAAAAGAGGAAACAAAAGCTGGATATGAGGAGACTAAGGGTAGGGGAAGGCATGAAAAGACTGAAGATTTCGTATGGAGGAAAGGAGGCGATGGGGAGGAAAAGTGAGGGCGAAAGACGTGAATTGAATCGGCATAACGAGAACTGGAGATGAGGACGAGACCGATGAGAGTAGCGAGGAGAAAACACATGACATCGAGTGTAAAGATGAGAGCATAAATAAAGACGAGAGGGTGAGCCGGACAGGACGTGGAGATGTAAACGAAAAGAGGGGTAACCACAGCTGGAGATCAGAACAGACCAAAAGTCACGAATGTTAAGACGAGCCTCACACGTCCGGAGGGAGGGAGATATGAAGTAGATGACAGTAAGGAAATGGAGCGGTGCATGGAGAGATGAGGCGGTTAACGCACTGGAAAGGAGATGGCGATGCTGAGCAGATGGCGTCATGGTTAGAGGAGAATATGTGGAAGAGGCGACGAAGCCGTGGCAAGAGAGGGAAGAGCTGGAGATGTAAACGAGAAACCAAATAGAGACGAAGGTATGAAGGATGAGTGTCGCAGGCGGAGGTGAAGAGGTGGCGGCGATGACAATGACGACCGTGCGGGTGGTGGTCATGGTGGTGGAATGACGACGGTGTCGCGTTTGTAATATTATCATTGTCATCACCGTATATTATATTCGTTATTTCATTTTATTTATATCGCAGAAATGGCGGCGAGGCAAGCGAAAAACCCCGGCACGCCCAGCGGCTAAAGCTATCCCCCAACGATGACATTAGCAGCGTGTTTGTATATTAAAGCAAAGACACAAAGACGTAAATTGCCCCACACACACACAAAAGATCACCCCCCCGAAGAGCTCAAGAAGGGTGTCATGACAACTGCTGTCAGCGAGCGCCTATTAAGGCCAACACACACGCGCGCGTAGTCATGCGTCAGCACCGGACGTAGCTTTGACGACAAGTTACCGCAGCGTAACAACGGTAATACAGTACTAAAAAAAATCATGTACAATGTATACGTGTAATGGATATCACCGACACATTAGATTCGCGGATGACTACCGCAGCAGCGACCATTGCAAACCCATTGGAGCACCACGACCACCGCCGCTGTACGGCAGCCGCGCAAAAAATTGTCATCAATTGCACCGGCAATCGAAGAGAAGCGCCGCCGCCCGCCGCCCGCGCTGTCGTTTGCTAACGATAAGCTCGCAACACACAACGAGGCGACGCGGTCGTGGTTTTTACTCACTTGCCCAGCTCCTCGTACAGCTGATACTCGTCCGTGAAACGGGTGCATATCGTCGTCGCCATGTTTGCTGTGTGCGCGAGGCTCTGTCGCGCTTTCCTCTCTCGCTCCTTTAGATCTCCCTTCCGCTCCCTTAGCTCTCCCCTTCTCTTTCCTGTCTCCCTCCTCTCCCTTCCGCTCGCTGGCTATCTCTTAACTCTTCCCCTTTTGCTCTCTCGTTTGCTGTCGCTCACCCACGCCCTCTCTCTCTCTACCGATATCTGGTATCGCTCTGACGCTCTCCTTTAACTCTCCCCCTCCTCTCTCTCAGCGCTCTCTCCTTTAACTCTCCCCCTCCTCTCTCAGCGCTCTCTCCTCTCTCTCCGCTCTCTCTCAGCGCTCCCCGCTCTCCCTCCTCTCTCCGCTCTCCCTCCACCCTCTCCTTTATATTTCTCACTCCTGCTCCGCGCGCTCTCCTCTCTGATATCACCGCCTTGCTCCCTCACACGACGCTCTAAAAATGTAAATCTCTATCCCCCTCCCTCCCAGGCACGTCTCGCCAAATAACGTATCAGGTTTTTTATGTTATAAATATTTGTTTTTATTGGTTTAAAAAAAAACGTCCAAAAATTTTTAGTCTACGACGTGGTTAGCGCTGCCGCCTCAGAATTACAAATGCATGTATTATTAATAGTAAGCGTAATTAATATGAATCATCACTATCAATTGGGAAAGCAATTATAAATTAAGTAGTCATTACGATTACAACGAGAAATACGATTTTTTTAAAGGCTAAGGACAATAGTGATGATGATAAAAATAATAATAATAAACTACAGCGGCCGGTCGCTTGACAAGGAGCCGCGACCCCTCGCCGATTGCGTGCGGGGGGGGGTGAAGAGGGGGAGCGCGTGCCGGGGCGGGGTCGATGCTCCTGACGTCACACGGAAGGGCGTGGTCACCGGGTGTGACGTCACTCGGTGACCGAGGCGCGCTCTGGGCGGGGGCCGGTTGCGCGCGCGGAGTCACTCGGTGGGGGGGGGGGCTGAAGGGCGTGACGTCGGTCGGAAGTAGGACGTGACCAACCGTATGAGGGGGCGGGGTTATTTTGTGACGTCATACCAAAAGGCGTGGCCAAGCTCAAGAGCGGGCCCGCCTCTTGGAGGTCGGGGGTCCACGTTCTGAGTGACGTGACACGAGGTGCGTGGAGGTGGTTTCGGTCATCCAGGCAGCTTTATTGAGCACATACCCATGCATACATTAGGTACATGGCAGTGAGATTCTTTGTTCCCGTGTCGCTCTCACTCTCTCAGCTTGTGCAAATTAACAACAACAATGTAAACAGCATCAACCATTTTTTATATAAACAATTAATTCAAAGCTTAATAAAATCAATCTTGATTTGAAGCTTTTGTGACTGCAGGAATCCATACTCTCTGGTTCTTTCGGTAAAGTCACGTAGATAGAAAACATAATAAAAGAAAACACGACGAGAAAACACGGCCGCTTGTGTTGCGACCGAAACGTCGTGTTTTCTTTTGAGGCCAAAGAAGATGAATCCTTGCAGTCACCAAAGCTTTAAATTGTTCTTGTTTGGTTAATGTCTAGTGCAGTCGATGGGGAGAGGGGGTGTGAATGGGGGTGGGGGGCAAAATCAGGATTGGTGGGACTTGGGCAAATATTGCGCGGGGCTCTGCTCAGCAGCTGAGCATCCGGATGGCCTGGGGATGGAAGCTGCCCCTAAAGCGGTTGGTGGTAGCCGCAATGCTGATGCAAGAGTAACATTCGTCACGAGCATTACAAAAGCTAAACAAACAAAAAGTACAGCAAATAGAGCGGTGGCGCAGTGATTAACGCACTGCTCTGAACCCGATGTACTGGTTTCGATTGCCAGCCACGGATAACATCCCCCCAAACAACTCCGCGAATTTAAATTAAACCAAAAAGGTAAACTATGTACTCGGAACGTAACGATCTGCCCTCTTTATAAGTCAGGATCGCGATTTCAATCGTGTTGTTTTACCATAGGGGTTGGTGAAAGCTGGATGGGTATCGTGAACTAATCACGTACGCATACGAATGGAAAAACGTCGATTGTAAAAACGCGTGAAGTTAAAATACGCATTAATCCACGAATCGATATATTTATCGCCTTATTGGAGAATTAAACGGGCGTGGTTGGCAGCTGAAGCATGTGGTTTACTTGGGCGAAATCCCTCACGGCCATGTGCTCGTTCCCAACAGGAATGTCAAGCTGTCCACTGCACACATCCACACGTATGTTGAACTTCTTTCGCACCGTACCTAGCCAACCGTGCGAAATGTAGGTGTAGCAACCACACATACAAGGCTCGGGCATTTAAAATATGTTCTGCTTGAATAGTTTCATGTATGTTGAACTTCTTTCGCACAGTACGTAACAATCAGCGGCGTTGTGGAGAATACCAGTCGCAGAACAAGAAGATTAAATCTGACTGCTGATGAGGCACTGAATAACGAACCCCGTCCAGAGTTTGCTGTGTTTAACCAATGCTGAACTGCAGAAATGATGCACTCACAGAAGGATCACGTGGTTGACGGCATGTGTAAATTACATATTAATTGAACTTGGCCTGTTGTCTGTTTATATTCTTTCAAATGTTCGATGGCACTCTTTAAATGCGCCCAAGCTGAAACATTTGCTCAGTAAAGCACTGGTCCAGGAAAGCCCCTTGTGTGATAACTGCGATTTTTTTTTCCGGAACCAAATATTTATTCCGGGCACACGGTTTGTATTTTTACCCGAGCAGCGGACCGCGGAGACTTCCGGAAGGCCTAGGAGTCATGGGTGAGGCCTGACAGAACGACGGCGTTGATTTAAAAGCGAAAGGAAAACAAAAGTTAACAACAATAAACAACAACAAAACAATCGAGCAGTGTGACGGACAAGAATAACACGACGGGAGCGGAGAATGGCGCGCGATTCCAGGTATAAGAACAGTTTCGACGTTAATGCGCGCCTGGCTTTAATACGTTGAGTAGCAGCGTTGTACCCGGTGGCTTTAAATCTTGTATTTTAAATCTTTACTTAAAGCTTTCGTGACTGCAGGAATTCATATTATTTGGGTCTTTTTTGTAAAGTCACGTAGATAGGTTCAAAGAAAATACAAATAGCAACACAAGCGGTCGACCGCTTGTGTTGCGATCGAAACGTAGCTTTGTTATTTTCTTTGAACCGATATCTTGTATTTTAATCACGCATCGTGCTGTTAAAACGTTCGATATTGTATCATTTAACCAACATGCATTTCTCTTTCCTTATTCATTCCGCTCAACCGTATTGCTTGCAGTTTCCGCCCTGAAATGTTATGGAAAGCGTTGTACGCTATAAATGTGTGTATTTGTCAGGAAAATTATGGGAAACGATATGAAATCATTCATGATTTAAAGCCAACCGTTACTATTGTCAAGTGTTGTTTTTTGAGTATTTAAGTTTTCTTTACGTGGTTATAATTGACCTTTTATGCCATTATTTGTTTCATCCCGGTTCTCTCTTGACGGAAGAGACCGGTATACAGGTCTAAATCCGCTAATACCTGCTTACAAAGTACATCCATTTGTATACCCCGTGTATTGTCTAACATCTTTCGCACCCTACTGAATGCAATGCTTTTTGTTGTTCTTGCATCGCCCAGACACCACCGCAAACGTTCTCGGTCTTCGTCGCGCGGGAGATCGCCAGCCGAGAAGCGCTCCAAGGCCGCCGAGAGCCGTGACAAGAAACGCGAGCGGGAACGTGACCGCCGGCGCACGGAGACCCAGCGCACGAGGTTGCGCGCTGTTCTCGACTCGCTGCCTTTGCACGTCAAAGTGTCCACGATTTTTTGTTGTTGTAATTTATTGATAGTATATATATATAAAGACCCGGCATAAAACCGCATATATTTAAATGTTCATTCATCCAGATCAAGAAGATGTCGTTATGGGCTTTGATCTTTCAGTTTCAGTTTATTTTCAGTTTTTTTTATTTTGGTATAGCCCTGTGAGCCATTCGGCTCTTGAATCGGGTGCAACCACAACAAACAAAAAAACAAAAACACGAACAAGAAAACATCTTAAAGTGACTATGTGACTTTGCAAACAGAAAATCCATGAAAAAAAACCAGCAAAATATTCCTGAAAAAAGCACCGTACACCAACGCTGTGTGCAAAAAATCCCAGTGGAATGCAAGTCAAACAACAACCACAAGAAAACTTAGATTAAGGCCATCAGTCTAACTCCATACTACAACAAAACAAACATGTCCAAACCAAAAAACGTTTTCGAAATCACCAAAAAATAAAGCCATAATTGCAACGTAATTGTGATAATAGGGACTGTGACCGAATTTTTACAATAAACTACATAAATAACATGTAACACCAAATCCTAGAGCCATAGCTGGCTGCATGAGTTACTCCACAACAACAGAAGCATCAGTCGGAGTATCAAATTTTTCAATGCACCTTTAAGATCAGCACACGTTGCTCGCTGTTGGGAGGGACGGACAGATGGCCATGTCTAAAGGGCTGTTAGTTTGTAAAAAAAAATACCATGCATTGCCAATATTTGAAGATTCATTAACATAACTTTTTTATTTCATTGGTTATTGCTTCTATATTTATGTTTTATTTACCTTTTTGAGATAATTTAGCACACTAGTTTTGGTTTTAGGATCACAGCAATAATGTACGTTAATGCCATGGCAGTGGTGGTTAAACATTTTCCTTGCTGGGCTGAATAGGACTTTCAAATTCCTTTGGCAGGCCACACATTCATATGCACCTTATTCTTTTCCAGTAGTAACGAATATATATTTTTTAAGAATCACCTTTGCATAGTGCATTTATTCCATAGAAAATTGGATAAATTAATCAACGTGAATAAAAAATCGACACTCAATGAATTTCCCTTTTCAGCCAATGTGATTACATCACACACACCATGTGCGCACCCCCCCACACGATTTTACTACCCGTGATGTCATCTTGCATTGCCACAAATGACACGTCACGCGACGCCATCTTGCTGTGCTGCTTAAAAGTGAACGTGTCTAATTGAAATATTTCTGAGGACAAACGAGATAGAAAGAACCAGACAATTCTTAAATATGCATGATTTGTCTTCCTTGTGTCGCTGCGCAGGCGTTCAAGCAGGGAGCGACGGCGCTCACACAGCCGAGAGCGCCGCTCCCGTCGCTCCCGCTCGAGGGAGCGCAAACGCTCCCGCACACGCAGCCGCAGCAAGGAACGCAAGCGGTGAGCCATGTGGGACCGGGTACAGCTTATTAAAGTTGTTAAAGTTTTATTTTGCTTGAAAATGTTTTACTTTTCGCATCGCCACACCTGAGAATAGCATCGCGAACCGATTCATCGACCCGGACGTCTGTATACTTGGAGTTTGCATGTTCTCCTCGTGGTCGCGTGGATTTTTCTACGGGTTCTCCGGTTTTTCCCTCCACATTTAGAAACATTTAGAGTAGTTGGCTGCGATATATTTCCACATTATAAGCCACTTGGTTGAGCTATCATTTGTGGTCAGGTAACTTCTGGAAAATAGCTACATAGCTCAGTGATCCTTACCGAGGAAAAAATGTGTTTTAGTCGCTTAATTTGTCAGTATTTCCTTAGGACGTCACAGAAATATACTCTTTGGTTCTTTCGGTAAAGTCACGTAGGTATAAAATAAAATCACCTACGTGACTTTATTTTTTTTACTTTATAAAGTCACCTACGTGACTTTACCGAAATAACCAAAGAGTATGGATTCCTGCAGTCACGAAAGCTTCAAATCAAGATTGGCACAGAAATAGTTACATCATGGGGGCTGTCTCAACCGTGATTAGTGAGAAAATTTAAACTGTATGTAGTATAAAATTAATAATTTTTAATGGAAGGACTGTTGATTTCTTTTTCACGTGAAGTTCCAAGTCCAAAGAAAAGAAGGAGAAACCTGAACCAGAAGAAAAGGAGAAGCCTAAAGAAGAAGAGAAGGATGCTGCCGTGAGTAATTTGTGAACACTTTTGCACATTCTATGAGTTCTTTTTATTACCAAATATACAGAGCATCCTATTAGCAAATCGCCTGGAGTGTGCTCGATCTTGTAATATCTCGCAAGCGACGCAGGTTTCAGCGGAAAGAGTCTTTGGATGGGTGACCACCATGCATGAAACAGGTGTTATAGGCTGTTGTGGGATTACGTCAGGAGATGGCAGTGCAGAAAATCCATTGTTGTACACTACTATGCTTCAGAGTCAACGTTCCCTGCTTTTTGCCAATCTGCACCAACCGGTGCGGTACCTTGTGGTTAAATAATCCTTCCAAACTGTGCACAGCATGGGGAGGCCGTCATTCTGCAGTAAATTGACAAAAGGGCACGACAAGTTCATCGAGAGTGATTATTTGTCGCGACAGAGCTTTGAGCAGGGCAAGCTGGAAGTGGAGATGAGGAAGAGGAAGGAACGCATTGAAAAATGGCGTGAAGAGCAGAAGAAGAAGGCGCACATCAACATTGGCGACATCAAGACGCAGGTGGAGCTCATGTCCAAACAGCGGAAGAAGTGGAGCCTGGAGGATGATGGTAAACTAATTTTGATCTTCTTACAATATAATTTGATTGTTCTAATTCTAACCAATAATTTGTTATAATAATGCCCTCTTTTCAAGGAAACCATAATTGCATGTGTCAAGTCTCCAGGATTACCCTTGAGACGCGTTTTTTTAATTTACAATGTTGTGTGTTTCTCGGCAATGCAATGGATTCTTACGTTTTCAGTGTTTAACCGGAAAATAATTCACTCAGCCCTGTTTACTGCAGTGCAGCGGCAGCTGCCAATAGTCCATGTCTTCTCTAAGGCTCAATTCAGCCTAACTTTCTTAGTTTTTTTCCAAGGGTTTTTGCCGAGGAGTCTCATTGATTTTACATGTAAGTAAATGTGTCACAAGACTTTTTTTGGAAGGTCCCGCATTGGGATGTTTGGGCGTTTCCAATAATCGGTGTTTGGTATGGGGAAAGAAACCAGAAACTACCATGGGAAAACTGAAAAGACATATTTGAGTGCTAACACCCTAAGTTCTGCATGGATTCATTCAGGAATCAATTTCTATGCCACCAACTCCTGGCCACCTCGCAGTAAAATCCACATGCTCTGGTTTCTGTGGTCTGGCACAGACGAGGACGATGATGAGGGCGAGGGTGAGGATGAGGATGAGGATTCTGCCGACAAGGAGGAGGGTGACGATGAAGAGCCAAAATTGAAGGTGGAGGAGAAGGAGGAGATGGTGCAAGAGGTGGTGGTGCCGGTGCCGGAGCCGGCCAAGCCCGAGCAGCACATGGCCATTGTTCAGGGTGTCGTCGACGATGATGACGACGATGGCGTGGACCCCCTGGACGCTTTCATGGAGGGCATCAAGGAGGAGGTGAAGAAGTTCAACATGGGCGACGCAAAGACGGGCGAGAAGGTAGGTCCTGCTGCTGATGGTGTTGCTGGCTGGTAGAGGAGCTGGCAGTGGGGGTTGGTGATGGAGTTGGTGGATTTTGCTGCTGCTGGTGTTGATAGTAATGGTTGGTGATGGAGCTGGTGTTGCTGGTGATGGAGTTACTTGTGCAGCTGGTGGTGATGGGAACTGTTGGCTGTGCATGTGATGGACTTGGTAATGCAGCAGATGTTGGCATTTTTGGAGTAGGTAGCAGCACTAGCCTGTAGTAGTAGTAAGCTCCTTCAATATTTGACTGAAATCTTGGTTACATTGATTCAATTCTAAACCATCAATGGCAAGTGGTATTTAAGCCTACCTTTGGCATCCCCTTCCTCAATTAATAATAAGTGAGTAACTGGTGCATTGTGTAAATATCACTTGGGAGACAATAAGACAAGTGTGCTTCTGGCCATATTCGTCTTAATAAATGATTGCTAACAACACTTGTTTCAACATTTTATAAGGCTAACAGGGTCGTCGTTGTCTTTGCTCACGGTGGTGGTGGTGCTGATTGTGGCAGTGCTTGTGATTGTAGGCATGAGGAACAACCATGCAGTCTATCCCAAACAGCCTTGCAAGCACCAAGGTCACACTTTTCCATGCTGTCGTTGTTTTATTAATAACCAAGTCAGTACACGTGCATGCTGTCCCACAGGGCATCTGACTACAGCATTGCCGTGGTGTTTTAAATCAAGCTGTGAGCCCAGAATTGTGGCCATCTCGGGCGGTATAAGGCACTCAAGAGTGTTTAAAATCCCTCATTGGAGAGGCACTGGGGAAATCCCTATGGTATCCTATTTCTGAATTGTTCCCTGCCATGACAAACTGCTGTGTTGTCAGTAAGGGTATTTCCAGTGATGTAGTATGCCTTTCCTCTTGTACAAACAACAGTAGCAGGATTGGCAAAAAAAACTTTATATGGTTTTGTTCAGTTGACAGTTTATTTGAAATTTGACTCACATTTACAAGGCCACATATAAATAGTTTTCTTGTTAGTTTCACTTACAGCTCCCTTGCCAATGTAATATTCACTAATATGTTCACTGTAAGGGCACGTGGCACTGAATGACTTGTCCACGCTACACTGTGACATTTGATGACAACGTAAGTCCTATCTGATGAGCAACAGGGGGGGCAAAAAAGCAAAATTTACTGTTATTTTGTACTTGTATGCTCCCATAACAATTTTCCCACCTTCGCAAACCCTCACTGACCAGCACGGTGAAGTATGGTCAAGTTACCACCACTACTTGTCGTGACATATTTGTTCATTTTTTTCATTTTTCAATCCTCCAGCTATTTGGACATTTAGCTTTGGGGTTAAATAACGCTCATTATTGGTGCCAACAGAAGGCGGGCTCCTCGGTTACGAAGGTGGTCACGGTGGTCACCAAAAAGCAGTCGGAGGTAGAGAAGCCCAAAGGGGAGCTGATGGAGAATGACCAGGATGCCATGGAGGTGAGTTCGTTGGCCTGGAACACGTTCATCCTTTTCTTGTTGCACATCTACTGCCCAGGACCTAAAGTCACTTTCCCGAAAAGCGCTCGCTTCTGCAGAAGATATTTGATCGGGTTATTTAACTTGTCACTGTCGTTAGTAGTGATATAAGCAGTAATTATTGGCTATTGATGAAAGCAATTATTGCAAATGATGTAATTATTTCTAGCTCATGTACGCTATAAGCATTATATATACACACACACACAGATGTGCTATGGATCAGTGTTAATGACTATAGTGGTGAGATATTTGGGGATTATTGTGTTTATACTTTGTTACACATAACCTGCTGTATAGGCGCACGTGTCCGTCCCATGGGCGTCTGCTCAGTGCGATGAGACGTGTGCGTGCTGTTTCGGATGCGCAGTACTCATCCGAAGAGGAGGACTCGGACCTGGCCACGGCGCTTACCGGATACAACCAGAACAAGCAGCGCAAGATGGTGGAGGTGGTGGACCACTCCAAGATTGCCTACGAGCCCTTCCGCCGAAACTTCTACGTCGAGGTTCCCGAGCTGGCCAAGATGACAGCAGAAGGTGCCCCGACCCAATGTCTCGACTTGCACTTTTAAATGTAGATTGAATGCTCGTTTCTTTCGAGCTGCTTTTTGCATTTGGTTCGTTGTCCGAAGTTCAACGTACATACACGAGTAGGCGTGCAATTATTCACCGCTCCCACGATTCCATGAATTGTCACAATCTGGGATGACGATTTGAATTACGAATGTATAGTTTTCGACCCGTTTGTATTCCCGTGTACATTTTCTGTCTCGTATTTTCTGCACAAGTCTATGTCATTTGTTCTATTAACCAATAGGTGACATCTGAATATAATTTGCAAGTATTTACATGAAATATGAATGATAACGTATTATTTGATTTTGTGCCTTGCACAAGTAAACATTTATCCCAACAGGGGTGTTGTTAACGATGTATGTCATCGTTTTTCCTGTTTTGTGGTTTGACAGTTTCTCAAATTTTATTTTCAGCTGAGATTGTAAAGCATCTTGGGCTTACTTTTCATTCTATCAATATTATTCTTTGTATAAGAAGCAGGCGACGTTATGGCACTCGCATGCCTTCACGCTTTCCAAAAGAACGATGACTGCTCCACCAACGCACACCCTTTCGTGAGAAAGGGAATTGTGCCATCACTGCAAATTTCCACAGTCCTTTCACGATGCTAAGTAGCAAGCCAACCTTGCATCCTTTTTTATTTGCGCCGTTATCTCTCTAACCTGACCCCAACCCGCCCCGTCGGTCTCTCACATCGCGCAATCTCGCGTTCATCCCCCAAGAGGTGAGCGCTTACAGGCTGGAGATGGAAGGCGTCATGGTGAAGGGCAAGGGTTGCCCCAAACCAATAAAGACCTGGGTGCAGTGTGGCATCTCCATGAAGATTCTCAACACCCTCAAGAAGTGAGTGAACACAATTCACGAAAGCCCCCTTTTGTTTGACTGGTGACTCCATTCAAGGTTGCATCTGACCAGCTGACAAGTAAATGTCGAGCAACCTTGGCACAGCAGTGTCTCTCTTTTCGTAATGAAATATACAGCTACGTTTTCTGGGTGCTGCGAAGGAACTCGCAGTGAGGCTGGTGACAGATTTGTGCTGCGATGCAGAAAATGGCACAGGATAGGAAAAAAAATTCACAGATCAATGCCAGATCAATGCCTTATTTATGTGGGCGTTGGTGCCCTAATGAGCACCAAGGTGATGTGGATAACGTGAGCATTGATGCGAAATTTTAAATCTTTTCGTGCAGTTTAAGGTTAGTGTTGAGATGTAGAAATATTATATTTACGTTCGAGCGAGGAAAAAGAGTCAACTCTAGGGTTCTGGTTAAGGCTAAGGTTAGAGTGATAGTCATGGCAAGAACTCTGGTCTAGGCATGTACCAAATTCATCTATTAAAATGGATTCTTATGCTCATGTTCCTTTCATTGAATTGTGCTTATAAAATAGATTATTTATGGAATGACGAATTATTTTCAAATAATATGCTAATGTTTCATTTTGCCAAATGATGTGTAAAAAAACTATACAAATAAGAGCAATTGAGTTATTATCAATGCAATTATATTCCCAAAGCTATACAAATTAGACCATAAAAACAAGACAAATAATCTAGTTTTTCGAATATTTTTTTATTTTCCATGCATCATTATATCCGCACCAATAGACTCAATCACACCGCACCCACATGTTTCAAACCATCCATTCTATTCCGCGCCGTATCAACAAGGAAGAAACTCAATTTCAAACATGGCACAGAATCATGAAAATACATCAAATTCCTTTTGGACTAAAGCATTAGATGTCTGGTTGGGCCTATCCTGCAATTGTGCATTATTGCTGTCAGGATCCTAAATTAGTTATCGATATTTATAATTTTTCTGATTAAATTATTGATTCCAAAACACATGAAATCGGTAATTGAGTCGAGTCTAATTTTTGTAAAGGTCCAACCGATTGGCACACATGCACGAACGTTCAAATGGCCGGCTCGTTTCAATGTTATTGGTCAACGGCAGACATCGTGAAGCCCCCAGCAGCAGGGTTCGTCAGTCACCACGTGGAATGTTTGAACAGACATGAAGACACACACACACAAAAGGGGTTATACTTATTTTATCATACATTTCGATTTGTGCGGCAAACCTGCAATAAAACATTTTGCATGCGATTATCGTTGACACCGAGACACTGAAATGAACAACCGCAGTTACTTTGCTTTCCTTTGAAACTCTTTCTCTCGTGGAAATGCACAGGCAAAACTACGAGAAGCCCACACCCATCCAGGCACAAGCCATTCCGGCCATCATGTCTGGCCGCGACCTCATAGGCATTGCCAAGACGGGCAGCGGAAAGACCATCGGCTTCCTGCTGCCCATGTTCCGGCACGTCATGGACCAGCGGCCTCTGGAGGAAGGGGAGGGGCCCATCGGTACAGCCATCCCGGCGTGTCCGCTCACACGTCTCACGTCGTCGCGCCGGCATCGTTTGGTCGTTGGTGGTTCTAATGGACGGGGAGGGAACGCCAGATGACGAGAGAAAAATTTAAACCATTCCCGACTTTTTATGTACTCTAGGCTGTTTATGAAGCTGTGTTTTTGCAGTGCAGTGTGCCAGAGAATTAAGTGTGTTGTTTATTTGTTTGTGCATTCGATATGAGTTTCGCTATGCGTTTGCATAAGTGATTGAATGATTGCAGTTGGTGAAGAGTGTTTGTGTTACTGCGCATTCTCCACTGTTTATTCGTATTCTCAAAAGTAGTGCCATGGAATGTTTCATTGCACATTTATTTAGCTTGTTGTAAATATTTTCATAATATTGGGATACATGTTTTAATGATCAGTTATGTTATTGCAACAAATATTGGGAGTGTTATGAAGTTTTACACACACACGTTTTTTTAATTGTTTCAAAATGTACTATAAATGTGCACAAAACCAAATGCAAAGTGAACGGTGATATGTATCCCTATATTCTCATCCTTTAACTGAATTGCAACTGTTTAGGCGTGTAGTGTAATTAGACATGCAGCACGAAAAGCATAATAGTGTGATTACTGCAGGCTTGTGTAAACTGTTGGATCAAAATGATAATCACGTCTGGTTAACATGAGCTTTTCAACTGGAGAGTATTTTCTTGATCTAATTCTTTCCTTGACAGAATGTGCACAGGCCAATATCAACCTATTCGTGTGAAACTTCCTTGTTATTTCCATTTGTGAAGATTGTTTAATTAACATGCAATGGTACGGTGGTCCATGCACCACCCTACGAGCCAAGCCGCCGCTGAGATAAATTCTAGGCCGACACTCGCCTGCATGATGTCCTAAACATTCATGGGCCGCCCCCTCACCTGCATTGATCACATGGTCAATTATGGTCAAACAACCCTGCTATGACCGGCACGTTGTAAGGAGTCCTTCATCCAGCGCTGGATTGCCTAAGGGCTGTAAATATACAAATATATGTATAAGAAAAGATATTGATCAGAAGTTCATTATTTATAGTCACGTGAGAGTCTGTTCAAGCACACTCTCTTTTTGTAAAATAAATTAATCATACTTGTATGTAAGGTGAAAGGGGTACGTTTCTTGACCTGATAGATGGAAGCAATTTGCATATGACCCATGACCCATGCAATTAAATAAAAATGAAATAACTTTGGCAGCGCAGACCAAATCGTTGGTAGCGTGCACGCTTCCATACGTATATCCAAAAATATAGATGCCCATTCCAAAGTACGTACGTAATTGCATTTCAGAGCTGCCCATCTGTCATTTTATTGATTTAGAACCCCATTACCACCTGTCAAGACATGTTGTTGCACTTTGCTGAAACGGAGACCTGGGAGAAAAGATTGACATCAGCGCTTGTGTTGCCGCCGCAGGCGTGATCATGACGCCAACGCGCGAGCTGGCTCTGCAGATCGCCAAGGAGTGCAGGAAGTTCACCAAGCAGTTGGCGCTGCGTGTGGTGTGCGTGTACGGTGGCACTGGCATCAGTGAACAGGTGCCGCCACCCCCCACGGCCCTGCCCCCCCACTCCCTGCTTGCCCTCCTCACTGCAACTTGCTTTGCGCATGGTCTTGCTCACTCATTCACCGACTCACTCATTCGCTGACTTGGCAAATCTTTCGCTGTCTCACCTGCTCGCTTCCCTACCAACTCTCTGCCATTCATTCACCGACTCAATCACATATTCTAATCTGCCAAATCACCATTACGCTCCAACTCGTTTCCTCTCTTTAATGTACGTGTACTATCACAGTCGCTCACTTGCCCAACTCACGCACTTGCTAACCATGTACCAATAGTCTTGCAAACTATTCTTTGGGTCTTTCGGTAAAGTCACATAGATAGAAAAAAATAACAATAAAATGATGAAAATAAAATAATTATTTTTATTAACTTTATTTGTATTTTATTTTTATAATTTTATTGTTATTTTTTCTATCTACGTGACTTTACCGAAAGACCCAAAGAATATGAATTCCTGCAGTCATGAAAGCCTTAATTTAAGCCTTGCAAACTGTTGAACTAATTTACTCACTTATTCACACACTCTGACTCATTCTTACTGTGACTCAACTCACCCACTCTTTCATTCGCTTGCAAACTGAATTGCCGACTCACAACTCGCCAACTATCTCACTTGACCAAAATATAATCGTTATCACCTGCCCCATAATCATTAGCATGCACTCGGTTTCAAACACTCCGTGTAACCCAAGTGATGTAGATTAATATTGAGCAAGTCCAGTAAAGGTTCAAGGTGGTCTGACAACATGTCTATGGCATTTAATATTTTAAGTACAATGTACGTGTACTTTTAATTTCCTGTTTTAACTTTAAGGGTTTAGGTCAAGATATTTTCCAAAAATATAGACCAAAATCTGTTATTTCGTTGTGCTATTGGCATCATGTTATGAGATTAAGTGTCTAGTTATAACTCTCACAGAATAGGGTATCACCTCGTGTGTGAGAGGAGGGCCTGTGGAAACACATTTTACCCACTTCTTGTGGATATTCTATTAATTGACCTCTTTTTTTTTTAATCCACACAATAGCAGCAACACTTTCCTGCTTGCCATGCTTCACAGACACGTTTCTCACTCGACGGTCAAAGCGGTAATTTTCTCAGATCTGGAATGTAGCCAAATTAAGTGACAAACCAAATGTAATGTGACCGTTTTGTGTAATAAATTGCTAACCAGGCTCAGGTTACCACGGACTGCACTTATGAGAAGACCAGTTTATTCATGGCTATCTGAAACCTGGATTCTACCCAGCAGTGTTAGCTCGGAGTCTTGACCCCCTGAGACCGTCCTCCCGCCCCTGGCCACTACAAATCTACAGTTTCTCCTTCAGTGAAAGATTTAATTTAATGCAACGTGCTCATCGGTAACCAAGCGAAGACCATCACCTCTCACTACACTCTAAGAAACTGGTTTTTATAGCTGGTGGCCGAAACCTGGATTCCATGCTCTGGGATTTCGGCAGCTTTGGCTCGACGCTCTGACCTTCCCCCTAAGATGCTCGGCCGTTTCAGTTCTGCGTTTTCTCATGCGCTTGTGTTTTGTTACAGATCGCTGAATTGAAGAGGGGTGCAGAAATCATCGTGTGCACGCCCGGCCGAATGATCGACATGCTGGCTGCAAACAGCGGTAAGCCCTCGCGCTCGTGTTACCGGGGCAGGCCGCGAGATTTACGACCGACCCGCGTGCTTGTACGGAAGCGATATCCGTGGCGTGTACCGACCGCGCAGCGCATAGTTGACTTCACTGGGGCCTCTCGCAGAATCTGCTAATTCGATAACGCTCTGTAAAAAGAGTCGGCCCATTGCCGCCACTGCCGCCGTCGTCAATGCTTGCGCGAGCGCGTAAACCGCGCGAATCGGACCCAGATGTGTGTGCGGAGTCCCGCACAAACGGCCGAGTGTGCAAATAATAACGCGTGCAGAACAGTGCCTTTATTTTTGTGGCCAAAACAACGTCGATCCATGGCGGTGAGGCAGTTTAAATATGGCCCCGTAAATCTGCATCTGATGATAGTGTCTCCTCGAGAACACTGTTGAGGGAGGCAAAGGGAAGCTGGCACCTCCAATAATCCTTCCCTCGTCTTGGCCCAAGGGCCCTAGTTTGGAGTGTGGTGTGGCGAGGTGGAGATTGGGCACTGGGATCCGATAGGGTAGAGGGAACTTGAGCTTCTCCTGGTGCCTCTGCTGTCTGGAATGCTCTTCCCTATTGTATCAATATGGCTGATTTAATACTCCCGTTAAACACCTTATCTTTCTTTTCTCCTCTGCTTACGATTACCTACAAGTACAGTTGTGCACTGTCTCATTTTTACACTCATAATGACTCCTCTCTCTTCAATTAGTACAAATCTTAACTCTATTTGAATTGCTGAAAAGTGTCTTGAGACGTTACATTTAGTTGCTCTGTGGATTAAAATTGTATTGCAGAATATAAGCTGACCTTTCACCTCTGCAACCCCATTATAATCACCTACAGGGCTGCACACTGCATTTATGCGTTGACATTTTCCAGCGCACATACACTCAACTTCCACGAGCTTCCAATATGCACTGTGCCATCGATGTGGTGCTTGCCCCCTCCCCCCGTTGCATCACACGTCATGACTTAGGTCGATGAAAATGTACGGCAGTGACGTTGCTATGCTGCATTCTGCTCTCACGTCTGTGCTCTCCGCCTTCGCCAACGCACACTTACCAGTGTGGTGAAGTATGGTCAAATAACCCTTACGATCCACAGGGCATGAGGATGTTCCAACCCAGCATTTAATTGACAAAGGGCTGTTAATGTACATGCACATATACAGCTGGATTGGCCAACACTGAGTCAAACTAAAGCACCACAGCATGATGAGGATTCTGCTGCAGACATTTAAACAACGACCTGCTGCACAATGGGTATTTTGACATTCCAATTTGCTGTTCAACCCTGGACCACAATCGATGCATATGTCTTAGGTTTATTTTTTGGGTTGCCTACAGATGATTACTCATCATTGGGCATGTAACGATTCAGTAAATTCTCATGATTCGGGGGCCTGCTTGTACTGCCATCAGCATACAGAGAATGTGCATATAATTTGCATGAAACGCAATCAATGTATTCAAGCGTACAAGCTGACCCATGTGCTGTCGGCATAATAATCAATTTTATCATCACAATAAATTTGTTCATGCGCTTAAATTGGCTATAGCTCTGAGAATTAAAACATTTGGTTTTGACTCGTGCAGCGACGAACATTGCCCTGTGTGCCGGGCTGTATGAAAAGTGGTGCCACCTACTGTGTGGAGCAGAGGTCACTTAAAGGTATTTCAGAGGGAGATCTGTCATATCTACTTCCGTGGGCCGTTTCGGTAACAGGAAGGGTTGTACTGGTGTGTGAAAGATCCGATGGATAATTCATATAATGATAAGAATAAAACTTGGGAAGTAGACGAAAAAACTATTTAAAATAATCTACGTACTTTAATCGACGAGTCGCTACATGCCCTACCTAACTACAAAAAGCACCGCCGCTCCGATATGACGTGCGTCGGTTTTTAGTGTGCGGTCGCGGAATCACCCTCCCGCACATGCGGCGTAATGTGTGTTGTGTGTCCCTCAGGTCCGAGCCACAGCGCGTTGTTGTTGTCTCGGCTGTGGCCGCGTCTCTCGCCTCTCCCCACTTCCTCGTGGTGGCCGCTTCTCTCTCGCCCATGGGATGCCCGAGCATAGCTCGGTCGAACGGGCAGGCGGGCAGGCGGGCAGGCGGGCAGGCGGGCGGGCGGGCGCTTGTGATTTTGCGCCGGTCCGTGATGGCTCGAGCCGTGAAAAAAATAATGTTTGCGTGATATTGAAATGCTGAGAACATGCTGTGAAGTGCTGCTAGTGGGGTGCGAGTTGTGTTAAACTCTGGTGTGTGTAATTATGGCTCTGTGATGGTGGTACACAGTGCGGTGGCATGCGTGTCGAATATTGAAGCATCAGCTGTTCAGAAATATGTTCGTACACTGCACGTACAAGAATAAGAATTCGGCAAAGGCTGAAAATACTTTTGCACCATCGTCGTCAACGCTACCTTTTAACATGTAAACTAAAATAATATGACCTTAACATTTTAAAAGTTGATTATATAAGAATATTTTGGAAATTATTATAATTGATAGTAATCGACATGAGAATTTTGGCATTAAAGTTTCACTGTTTATTAGGTGACCCACATGCTGCAAAATTAATGCCTTTAAAGGTCAGTAAAAAATTATTGTCATTCAAAAGTAAAAGGTTGCTTAACTTTTAGCCTGAAAGCATAATTGAGAATAAAATCTGTTCGGTGACCGGGACGAGGTCAAGTTACCACCTCCGTCATAACACCGTGAAGTGCAGTCATTATTGTGATCCTTATGCCATTAATCACGTCAGCTCCTTTACTATCAGAATGACAATGACACACAAATAACCCTGTCCACATGGCTTAACATAGTGTAATTGTTGCATTGGTAAAGGTGTGAAAATGTGACGTTTGCAAAGTCGTTTGTGAGAATTTAATTCCTTCATTCTAGTCAGTGTTCCAAGATTTCAATTATTTCCTTTTATCAGCATTCATGGGTTTCTTTTGTTGCATGTCCAGTATGAATTTTAATGCACATCAGCATTACACATTAAGCGTGGCCATTGATGTTGGCCTCCATGAACCTGTTGATATTACTCGTCTGATTAAAATATATTTAATTGGCGAATTTGCAAACTACGTTTGAAGGCGGCTGCTCTGCCCCAGAGATTGCTTCACAACTGAAACATTTCAGTTTTTTTTCCTCATTAACATTTCCACATCTCCCCCATCCACTTCCCCTTTCCAGTCCCACCACAAACTCTTCTGCAGCCCACGGGGCAAAATTCTGCAAAGTTTCCAAACGCATACAAACCACACATCCTTCATCGCTTGGCACTTGGAAGGATGTCAATCGGCGCACAGGCTGCATGCGTGCGAGTTGACGGCGAGTAATCCCTGAAACGCTTGGTCATGTGGTGCCACCCCTTTCCATGCAGGGCGGGTGACTAACTTCAGGAGGGCCACATACATGGTTCTTGACGAGGCCGACCGCATGTTCGACATGGGCTTCGAGCCACAGGTAATAATGCGCTCCAGACTCTCTTCCATTTGCTGGTATTTCCTCTTTATCTGGAAACTTTACCGAAAAAAAACAAAAAGTATGAATCCTTGCAGTCACGAAAGCTTCAAATCTAGAATTAACTTGCAATTCGTTGATTGAAATGGATCGTTAGGCTCGTGGTAGGTACGGGATACTTTTGTGATGTCAAACATGAGAGATAGGAAAATCATCAGTTCCTGAATCGAATTGTGAACTCGGATCGCGACAATTCATGGAATTGCTCTGGAGTGAATTTATCACGTGCTTAGTATTCATGCTGGAGATCTTTACGCAATTCACCTCCTGCCCACCGTCTCCCCAAAAATAAAACCAAGTCTCTTAATTATCATGTCAGTAATAAAGTCCCCACATCCCATGTTATTGCCAGCAGACTTGCACCTTGTGTGCATTGCCAGCTTCATTTTATCCCTTCCCTCATAGCCATGCAAGTTTTACAGATGAACAAGTCGTTAAAAGATTGATGGCATTAAAGCACACAGACACCTGATAGGACACGTGCTTTTGATTTTGACTGAGGTCGTCCGTATGCGTCGCCACCACCAGCACCGCCGCTCGTATTTATTTCACTTTTTTATTTGTTGGGGTCAGGTTTCTCGCCTCTGGATGAGCCAGGTCTTGTCTACCGCCTCTCGCCCTGGCCGATGGGTACACACGATGCTGAACCATGTGCCCATGACTCGGTGCTCTTATACTGTACTAGCGTTAAACACGTAAATTTGGGCCGCACCGCCCCATTGAAATTACCCCGGCATAGCTGAGAATCTCGGGGGTTCGGTACTGATCGTCGCGGTGTTTACAGCGTCCCCGTCTAAGCTAAAAGTGGCCGTGTTGTGATGCTGGTTTCATTGTTAGGAATATAGTGGTGCGTGACAGGCCTCGTTTAGGTCAGAGTTCAGCTAATGGACCATTAAGGTGCTGTATTGTAAGAGGCACATTATTTTTGGATGAGATTGTGAAAGATGTCATCTGCAGCGTAGGTGTTTGTGGTTCTGCTGTAGAGTTGTAGAGCTGTCCAAAGTGTTTACGGGTTGTACTGCATTGAGCTAAATGTCGGAAAGTCGTGCTGAACTGAATGTCTATATGACTAAAAGTATATGAATACATTCAGTTCCTGAAGAAGCTCCCAGCTCTTGGAGTACAATGTCAGACATCATGCCAAATGCCATGCGGTACAACCTGAAAACGGAGAGACGTCTTACATGTCATGTAAGTTTTAAGGCTGTCCACAATTCATTGAATGCTCATGATTATCAGTCCTGTTTAATTTACATGAATATGACATTTTCCCCCATTATAATTTTTTATATTTTACATGTAGAATTAATAGTGGCTGCAACATTGCAATTAATTAACCAGTCACATACAATACTTGTATATCGGAAATAATTTATTCTCACGATTCAACGCATGTGTCGTGAACATAAGCTCTGTTTCAATCGATAAAACATTGTGTGCCCCTTGTGTGGATGGAAGAAACTACATGTCACGTAGGTTTACTCGAGTGAGCATAATAAGCGGCAGGGTGGCGCAGCAGTAACACTTTGTGACCTCGCAGAAAGAAGGGCCTGGTTTTGATTTCTACTTTGGTATCTTTCCATGTGGGTTTGTATGTTCTCCCTGTGTTCTGCATGGATTACCTTCAGGTTCTGGGGTTTTGTTCCATAGCAAAAAATATAAAAAAACCCATACAATGTTAGTGGTATTGGCCAAACATTGCCACGTAGAATAAATACTTGTAAATTACTCCATTGGGATTACACATAGCAATATACTGCGAAGACTTTCCAGGAAGAGTTGAGACTCCTGCAAAAGTTGAGACTCGGTGAGGCTTTGGGTGAATACGCAAAATATTAATCTTTACTCTTGGCAATAATTTTAACCCTGGCATGAGTAATTCTACCTTGACTCACTCTAATCTCAATTGCAGGAGGTGGCTGTGTGGCTCTATCACCATCGGGATCCAGGATTTGAATCTTGGTAGCCACCCATCACTGAAATATGTTTATCAACTGTAGTGAGTTACTGGCCTTGACCTGATTACCAATGATGAATATAATATATTCTAGCATTATATTGAACACGTAACTAAATTTGGCAAATTACAGCACTGAGAAATTTTTATATCGGTTTGGCTGCCATGCAAGGAATATTTTACAGAAGCAGGGTATGTGGAGAAAGGTCGCCCCCTACTGTGTGGATAAATCAATTTCATTTAAAAGTGTTTCTCAAGGGGTGCAATTGATATATCGTACCACGGGCCGTTATATAACACGCTCTGCAATAGTTTTGAATGGACACTGCATCTCGTGATATAATCCCGATAGCACAAAGGTTGTAATTAAATATGTAAGTGACACTTCACATAGATCTCCGTTTGAATGAGACGCCGTCATCATTCGTGAGCATAGCGGTCCACATCGAGAGGCCACCAGGCGACCCTCCCCTGAGCACGCCGGCCGCGCTCAGCGTAGTCCAACACCTTTCGTGATGTTTTCCGTCGGCCTCGACAGCGGCCGCGCGTCCACGTCAATCGCGGTCCGCCCTGAGGTCGGCTCCCGCCCCGCGCTTGCCGCTGTTGATGATGGTATGCAGGGCTGTGGTGCGATAGGCCGACGCCACGGCCGGTCGCACCAGAGGCACACTCCAGCATTGAATTAGGCGGCCTGTGACCAAATCACTCAGAAGGTATCTGATCTCATTAGACCTTGTAAGCTAAGCTAAGCAGAGTTGAGCCTGGATTGTGCTTGGATGAGCGACCACCATGCATAAAACAGGTATACATCAGGCTTGGGCGGTAGGGGCACTTAATCAAAATCCATAGTTTTTCTGTACTCCCTCCACCTTCAACCCGCACTGAAGTATGGTCAAATTACCCTCGCTGTCTAGATGGCGTGGGGAGACTCGCAATCCAGCAGCGGGTTGACAAACGGGCTGTACATGCGCGTGAATTAGACAAGCGATCCATCCCTCACCTGTCACGAACGCGCGTGCGTGTTTACGCTCGTCTAGGTAATGCGAATCATCGAGACGTCGAGGCCGGACCGGCAGACGGTGATGTTCTCGGCCACGTTTCCGCGTGCCATGGAGGCGCTCGCTCGCCGCATCCTCAACAAGCCCGTCGAGGTGCAGGTCGGAGGTCGCTCTGTCGTCTGCTCCGACGTCGAGCAGCACGTGGTGAGGGTCACGGGTGGCGGAGACGGCATCGCACACGCGCATACACCTACAAAGACAAAGATCCCCCATGTAGCTTTTTAACAGACTGTTAGGGCAAGCGCTGTTCGCGAGCACCTATGAAGGCCGGCACCGCACATGAGGGGATGAATGGCCAGCACCACGTCTGGCTGCCTGTGCATGCACTTACACACGCAGGTACGCACACGCGCGTACAAAGACTGAGATATACCCCTTTATGCCTGCAGACTCGGTTACCCACTCGTGGGGTGCTGGGGTTGGCTCTGCACCACCATATGTCCCTTTAGCCCACCCATGTTCAATCTTCTCCTTCGTGGTGTATCACTGTTACGGTGACCTCCAACAACAGCCCTGCCCCCCCCCCCCCACGCCACCATCCAAGAGTATCTGGAGACGTGCTTGCTACAGGCTGTTGGGACAAATGCTGTTATAGAACGCCTATTAAGGCCGGTAGGGCACACGACGAGTGGGGGGGTGTGTGGCCAACATCACACCACATACTAATTTAAGGTTGAGTGCCTATGGGAGTCATGTAGACATGTATGTATGGATGCGTGTGTGAATGCCCAAAAACAACCCCCTACCTCCTCGCGGTGCCGGACGGGCAACTCTGTCGTGGACAGTGCTGTGGGGGGAGTTCCAATTTTGATTGGCTCCTCCCCTCATGGCATATGTGTCCACCACAGGGGCTAAACGGGGGCTCTGGACGGGTGCGAGGGGCTGGTAACCCCTCCACCTTCAATTAATTACCACAAAACCACGAATTAAAGTGAAATATGTAACAACTAAGCTTGTGCCGGAGGCCCCGGGGGGCCAGGCGTCTATGACGTCTCCTGGCCAAACCCCAATTGGCGGAGCCAGGAGATTGAATACCTACCCTCGGGGCTACTCCAGAAACAACGAAAAGCCACTACGGGTGGCCACGTGGAATGTTCGAACGCTCACTGCAGAGGAGAGGCTGCCACTCCTCTGTCGGGAGCTGGACCGGTACCGCCTGGATCTATGCGGCATTCAGGAGGTCCGGTGGACCGGCTCTGGCTCCTGCCACCATGAGGGGTGGACAGTCCTCTACTCGGGGCAGCAGACTGCCAAACAACAGGGTGTGGGTCTTCTTTTGAACAAAAGAATGAAGGGGGCGTGGGAGCGTGGCGGTGAGGTGTGGGAAGCTGTAAGCCCCAGGCTACTTTGGGCTCGCCTTCCCATCAACCGGAGGCGAGGAATGGTGGTCGTGGTTACTTATGCCCCCACCGAAGATGAACATCCGTGGAGGGATGCAGGCAAAGCCGATGAGTCAGATGCCTTCTATGACCTCCTGTCACAGGTGCTGGCTAAAGTGGCCCCTCGGGATAGAGTCATCATGTTGGGTGACTTCAATGCCCGAGTTGGTCATGATACTGGCACCTGGTCTGGAGTGATTGGAGGGCATGGGCCAGATCAGCTCAATAACAATGGTAGGAGGCTGCTAGATTTTTGTGCAGCCCATGGGCTTGTAATTACCAACACGCTGTTCCGGCATCGGCGCATCCACACAACATCATGGATGCATGCCGGGTCCAAGCAAGAACATCTGCTGGACTACATAGTGACGGACCAGCGAATGCGAGCCCATGTCCTTGACACCAGGACCTACCGTGGAGCTGATCTGCCCTCTGACCATCGACTAGTCATCTGTAAGATGCGCCTGCCATTCTTCCACTCCGGTGGTGGGTGTACACCCAGGACCCCATTCCAACCTAAAGTGGCCTGGTCTCAGTTATCTGATGAAAGTTGCAAGCGAGAATTTCATCATCGCTTGCGGCTGGGATTGGCATCGTCCCCGACTCCTCCTGATGTCGAGGGTAAATGGGCGAGGTTTAGGACTGTGACTCATGCAGCTGCAATGGCTGCTTTGGGTACGCGGTCCAGACCTCCCCAGACACCCTGGATGACAGAGGAGTTGTTCAGGATGGTTGAGAAAAAGCGACAGGCCCACTGTCATCGGCTACAGAATCCCACGTCAGAGAATGAGGAGGCTTACCGCAGCCTTCGCTCGGAGGTTCGGAGAGCCGTGAGGCGCTGCAAGGATGGGTGGTGGTCGCGGGTTGCTGAGGAGATGGAGTCTGCCTCAGTGGCCCGTGATCACAAATCGCTATTTAACTCCATCAAAAAAGTAACCTGCAGCGCCGCACCTATTACCATCATTAGGGGAAAAAACGGTGATCCAATTTCCGACCCCCAGGAACAGGTTCGCAGATTTGCTGAGCATTTCTGTGAGGTCCTGGGGGAGGGAAAATCCCACAGCCAGGAAAACATCGTGGCACAAAGTGAGGATGACCCTGCTGAGGCTGCGGTGCCTCAAATATTGGATGAAGTCACCCCCTGTGAGTGGCTGGCTGAGGTGCCATCTGCTGAGGAAGTATTGAAGGCGATCCGGAGTCTGAGACCAGGAAAGGCAGCGGGCAGAGATGATCTCCCAAGCGAAATGCTGAGGGAGGGTGGCGTTTGTGCACAGACTGCCCTATATGACATCATAACAACAGTCTGGACCACTGGACGGGTTCCGCAGGATTGGAAGGATGCCCTGGTGGTCCCCCTTTTTAAGAAGGGGGACCGCACAGACTGTAACAACTACAGGGGCATCTCACTCCTCAGTGTGCCGGGAAAGGTCCTGGCAAGGATTATTCAGCATCGCCTTGCCAGGCACGCTGAGGAGAGGCTTGCGGAGCCCCAATGCGGTTTCAGGAAAGGGCGGTCCTGCACAGATGCCATATTTTCTGTCCGTCTGCTACAGCAGAGGTGTAGGGAATTCCAACAAGACCTACATCTCTGCTTTATTGACCTGGTCAAGGCCTATGATACCATCAGTAGGCCTGGGCTCTGGGTCGTTCTTCGTGCTTTTGGAGTACCTGACCCTCTGCTCACGATCATTAAGGACCTTCATGATGGTGAGCGGGCCCGGGTAAAACTACGTGGCCGGGAGTCAGAGCCATTCCCTGTACACCTTGGGGTGCGACAGGGATGTCCTCTGGCTCCCACATTATTTAACATCTATTTTGACCACGTAGTTCGTGAAGCCTTCAATAGCTGTACCGGGGGAATCTCCATATGGTACAGATATAATGGGAGGCTAATCGATGCCCGGGTGCGGTCAAGGGATGGCTCCCTATTGCTCAACCACGTTATGTATGCTGATGACTTGGTAATAGCTGCTCAGTCAGAGGAGGAGTTGGAGACGCTGCTGCTGAGACTGGAGCGTGCCACTAAGAGGTGGGGCCTTACCATCAGCCCCACCAAAACTAAGCACCTGCCTGGGTATTTTGTACCATCGGACACTCCACCCCCACAACTCCCAATCGGTGATGGGGCAGTTGTGGAGAGAGTGGAGAGTTTCCCATACCTGGGCAGTGTGCTTATGACTGGCTCCAGTTTAACAGCAGAGGTCTCACTCCGAATCAGTCGAGCGGCAATATCTTTTCATCGGTTGCGTAACGCTGTGTGGAAGCTACCTGGTCTATCGCTCCGCACTAAGCTTCAGGTCTTCTCGGCCACGGTCATTCCCTCCCTTCTCTACGCTTGCGAAACGTGGACCCCCCTAATGGAACATCTTCGCCGGTTAGAAACATTTAGGCTGACCTGCCTACGATCCATCCTGGGTTTAACCAGACTGGATTGTGTGAGGAGCTCACAAATCCTTGAAAGATCTGGGCAGGGTCCCATCGGTGAGCTCCTCCGGCAGGCAAGGCTGCGATGGCTGGGTCATGTAGCCCGCATGCCCAGCCACCGCATGCCGAAACAGCTTTTGTTTGGCCGGATTGAGGGGGCTAAGCGGGCGCGGCACGGGCTAGAGAAGAGATGGAGTGATGTGGTACAGGAGGACGTGGAGCTGAGTGGACTTGCCGATGACTGGTACCAGCGGTGTCAAGATCGGCCTCTGTGGAGGAGGCTCGTGAAGGATGCTACTGGGCAGTTGGAGGCAGTCGCCCTCCAACAACAACGGAGGGCGGAGGAGCGACGCTCACAACAGCGAGCGGAGCGCCGGGTGGCTAAAGCACAGCAGGTTGGCACAGTAGGGGGCACAGGTGGTGCATCAGCCAGTCATCTCAGTCAGTCGACCCGTGGCACCTGGGTCTGCCCCGTGACCTCCTGCCAGCGGGCGTTCGACACTTCACGTGGCCTCAGGGTGCACATAGCCTGGCACAAGCGTCGTGGTGACGTCACCGCCACTTAGTGGCGAATGGCGGTTGTTGTTGTTGTTGTGAATGCCCATACAAAGTACACATGAATGTACTTGCACTCTTAAAGCCTCTGACAATACATCACTTTCATGATTAAGCTCACGTTTTCTCCTGACTAAACAGTTCTCGGTGCCGTTAGTCTAACGTCATTCGCTCACCACCCTTGGACCTGCGTTACCGATGGTGATTTGGTTCACAATTATTCAAAAGCTTTTTGTCAGCGGCTTTCAAGTAACTAAAAACAGTCATTACAGTTTGGTTGCTTGGTTGGTGCCTCGATGGTGGTAAAAGCACTGAGCTGGCACTGCCGAGGGCCTGGGCTTGAATGTCGGAAGCCCGTCACGATCGAGCGTGCGCGTCGACCACAGATCGTGATCGAGGAGGACACCAAGTTCTACAAGCTGCTGGAGCTGCTGGGCCTGTACCAGGAGAAGGGGGCTGTCATCGTGTTTGTGGATAAGCAGGAGCACGCCGACACATTGCTCAAGGACCTCATGAAGGCGTCCTACCCTTGCTTGTCACTGCATGGAGGTGAGCGGTGCTGCACACGTGGTGTTACATTTCTGTGTGCTCGTCCTATTGCGTCCTTCGTTGTCGCGACTTCCTGTGTTGATTTGATCAAAAGTAAGGGTGGGGCGCTGGTTAGCGCACTGCGCTATGAATCGAAACCACCTGAAATCAATTCCTTGCCACAGCTAACACCGGTCACGGACCCAAACCTTTGCCAATCTGCACTCACCGTCGTGCTGAAGTATGATCCAATCAAACCCCAAGGTAGATTTTCATTGATTATATCGGCATTCATATATAATGGGCAGGAAATTATTGTAATAATAAGTATACTTTTAATGACATATGAAGGGGTATCACTGAATATGATTAATCAACAACTGCCATACTGCCATGTCCTGGCCAACATGCAGCCCAAGCCTACCAGACCACCCATTCACTTGGGGTGATTTGGTCATAGACGCTGACTGTCTCTCTCCCCTGTGTCTCTCCAACCGCCCCCCCTCTCCGCACAGGCATCGACCAGTACGACCGCGACAGCATCATCAACGACTTCAAGTCGGGCGTGTGCCGCCTGATGGTTGCCACGTCGGTGGCGGCGCGGGGCCTTGACGTCAAGCATCTGATCATGGTGGTCAACTACGACTGCCCCAACCACTACGAGGACTACGTGCACCGCGTGGGCCGCACGGGCCGCGCTGGCAACAAGGTGGACACCGATAATGATCGGCCGAGATCGCATTCGCTTCATCTGCATCGGCACGGTGGCAAGATGTTAACTACCTCGCCTGGTAGACAGGTGGCCTTGGGTTCCATTCCGACCCTGACGCCTGCTGTATATTTGTAGTTTGCACGTCTCTCTCCCCGTGGTCGTGTGGAATCTTCTCCGGGTCCTCCGGTTTTTCCCTCCACATTTAGAAACATGCGTTTTAGAGTATTTGGCTGCCTTAATTTTCCACGCGATAAGCCACTTTGTTGAGCTATCATTCGTGACCAGGTCACTTCTGAAAAAGAGCCATATAACTCAGTGGGCCTTAGCTGGTAAAATAAAAAAATAAGTTCATATTATGTCGCTCGTGCCACTGTTATCTATCTCATATAGATTTATATAACAGCTCCTACTTCCAGTTTGTTGTCCTTCCCCTGCACCTCCGATTATCACGGTTGGCTACATACGGTACGAAATAAGTTCTACATACACACAGTATCAATGTCGTCCCGCACTAGTGGACAGTCGGTTGTCAATTGGGCTCAAGAGATTCGAGGGGACAACGTTTATAGCCCAACTGTCCACGAAGCTGCTTAATAATAATTGAAGCAAGAATACTTTCCAAACCTTTGTCAGCCAGCTGCTATTAGAAGACCCCTTCACAGCATTGTCAGTCATGGGGGCTGTTTGTCCATACTTGACCACGCTGGTCGGTGCGGTAATATTATTTGATTTCCATTTAAACACTTACAAACCGTGACAGATCTCACTCTGCAGCTGTCGTGCAGCTATCACCAGGGCTTTGTGGCCCAATCGGGCCCAGGTGCCGAGCTACGAAGAGGGGAGGGTTTAAATTGGACCGGGGGGGGGGGGGGGGGGGGCATTGCATTCTTTCCACCAGGGCCCCACACCTACCACGCTGCGACACCGTCACTCAGCCCGCAATTCCGCAATGTGTGAAAGTTGCTTAGCACGTTAACGTGCGGTTTTTTGCTGTCATGAGGGGCTGATATGATTGATGAGTCCTCTCCCCCCACCACCTTTCCACCGTTCCGCAGGGATACTCGTACACGTTCATCACGAGTGAGCAGGAGCGATACTCGGGGGACATCATCAAAGCCCTGGAGCTGTCCGGCACGCCCCTCCCGCCCGACCTCGAGAGGCTTTGGACCGAATTCAGGGAGAAGCAGAAGGCCGTAAGTTTCTGCTTGCGTTCGTCAAAACGTGAGCGTGCGGCACCAGTGATGGGGATGGATTACTCATCGTTGTTGTCAGACTCTTTATTTAGACTGGAGGAATCCGATGAGCTATTGAAGCTGGTTTTTTCACATATGTCATGGACATGTCATGATCATCAACATCTTCTCTGCCTTTGCAAGGCTCAATTCGTCTCCTATTCAATCCAGAGAGCACTTGGGCAATGCTACAGTGGAATGCACACCCAAGAATAGGATGCACAGCAGCGTCAGTTACGTCAGAATTAAAAATAAATAATGGAACTGGGTCGTGCAGCGGTTTCAATCCAATCATGAATGTATAAAACACATTTAACTACGCATATATTTTTTGATTTAAAGCTTTCGTGACTGCAGGAATTCATATTCTTGGTTCTTTCGGTAAAGTCACGTAGAAGGGAAACAATAAAATAATAAAAATATAAAACAATAAAATTCTCACGACGTTTCAACTGCAACACAAGCAATCCTCATCAGGTGTGAAAACCACAAATTTTCTTGTTGTGCTTTTCACACCTGGTGATGATTGCTTGTGTTGCAGTCGAAACGTCGTGAGAATTTTATTGTTTTATATTTTTATTATTTTATTGTTTACCTTCTACGTGACTTTACCGAAAGAACCAAGAATACGCATATATAAACAATTTTGTGAACGTTGTTTGATGTCACTTGCATGACTTACATATTGAACATTGTTCTTCATAATTTGCAGTGTTTTATACTTCTGCTTTTCCCATATTCCACTTCAAGATCGCACGCACTCTTCAAGATCCACCGTGGACTCGCCTCTGGTTACCTCTTCCCTCTCATCTCTCACCACTCCCCCTCCACCCAATCTTCGCTCCAACAACCAAGGGTTTCTGTCAAAACCCCCATTGTCTGGAACTCCCTTCCCCCAGCCATCCGTGCTGTTGACTACTTACCCCCGTGTTCAACTCCAGGCTCAATAACTTCCATCTTCTTGTCCTATTACTGACTGCCTCTAAAAAATAACTAGGCCCACCGTCTAATAATTTATATTTGATACCATACCTCCCATGCAGTACATCTTAAGGCACTTGGAAATACAGTCACATTTATATTTTGTTTAAGTCCAAATTGGACTTCCCATTGCATTGTTGCGAGTACCGTAAAAACCGTCATCCTCACCTCCCCCGACTCTACAGGAGGGCAAAACGATGAGGAAGAGCAGCGGCTTCTCGGGCAAGGGCTTCAAGTTTGACGAGACGGAGCACTCGCTCGTCAACGAGCGCAAGAAGCTGCAGAAGGTGGCGCTGGGGATGCACGACTCGGACGAGGAGGAGGGGTCCGGAGACGTGAGTCATTGTGATGATTATTGTATTGTAATGACAATCCACGTTGACACAGCGACGTGATTCCGAAGATTCCAAGGCTCTTCACTGGTTACAAGGCCCTTCGCTGGTTTTTCGTGACCCTAGTCGGGAGCTGCGGTGGACTGTTCACCTGAAGGCGGCAACCCACCCCCCAGCTGAGCGAGTTCCAGACAGCTAGCGCAGACGCGTTGAACCCCCCTCCCTCCCCGAGTGCCTGGTGTGGTGCACAAAACCATCGAACAAAGACGATCACTGCATCGCACGCTTTCTGTGGCCATCTAGAACGCTCTGTAGATTGAAAACTCATCTCTCTATAACTGATTGTTGTATTTAGTTGTCCTTCCCCCGCACCTCCGATTAGCACAGTTGCTTACGTACAGTACGACAGAAGTTCAAATATTAAAATAAGTGCCGGGCACTCCTCTTCTCGTCCTGCTGTTTAGGTCAGGAGGGTCGGTGGCGGAGCATCGGTTCTTTCAGCGAACCTCGTCAATTTGAAATGACACCGGCTTGGCTTTGCTTTTCTTTTTTGCTGGCTCGTTGCGTTTACAGATCGACCAGCAGATCGAGAACATGTTCCGCTCGAAGAAGATCGTGAAGGACGTGAATGCGCACGGAGCTTCCTCCACCGGCATAATGATGCCATCCGGGAGCAACGCTCAGAAGCTGGAGATCGCCAAGAGGCTCGCGTCCAAGATCAACTCTCAGCGCAACCTAGGCACAGAGGCCATGGTACGTGCGTGGCTGGCGGGTGTCGTGTGTTATGTGCGCGTAGCAGTGGCTTAGTGGTTCTCGAGCTTTAGGCCACGAGCCCAGCAATCTGAGTTCGATTCTCGGCCACGGTTAACGTCAGTGGATAGAGACTTCGGGAATTACCCTGGGCCTCCCCTGGGGTCATATCGGCCTCAAATGAGTACCTAGTGGAGTGCTTAAACATCATCACTGAAAAATAAAAAGTCGGCCGCACGTGGTGTTAGGCCACACCACCCCCTTGGTGTGCCCTGCCGGCCTCCATCGCCGCTCGCTAACAACACTTGTCTCTAACAGTCTGTATCGCTATGCGGGGGGTGGGGGGGTAGGAATCTTTGTCTTTGTATACATGAACAAGAGCACAGGCACGCACACACTCGCCTTCTTCCCGCATCGCTCTGCTTTGTTTCCACTATCATTGGCGGTGCCGTGCACATCTCATGCGCGTTCACGTGGGCGGAAAATGCCATTGGCAAGTGTTTCCACTCGCTAGCGCCTATAAATATTGCCACTTAGGCCCCCGAGACGATGACATCTACCACTGCGCTACAGCACAGGCCCCCCGTTAAATAAAGCCTTTGACGTGTTACACCCATTGCACTTTGGCTGGGTTTGGCAGCCCGGTGATTTTACAGCCTACTTCACTCTGTGCGGTTATTGCATTCAACGCAGTGCCATGCACAAGCATTTGTCAGCATGCGCTCTGTCGGGAACAGCTGGTTCACTGCAGTGCAGTCGGGGCCGACTCTGGGTTTCGATTGCTCGCCGTGCGCTTCATGGCCAATATGTAGCAATGCGATAATTCGTCCTCTGACTTCAAGGGAGATACAACACAAAAACACCGATACCTCTTCTTGCTTACGTATAGTACGCGCCTCGATGGTATCTCATTTAGACGGCTTCAAATTCATCCCTGGCAGCCTGGGATGCACATCATAGTTGTAAATCTACGGGATTGAGAACTGTGCGATTTATATTGCACCTTTTAAACGAGCACCTGGCGTGTCAGCACTGGGGGGGATGGTGGCGGGGGTCGGAGAGATGCCTGGCGTGGTGCCGTCTCTCCCCCGACTCACCCACGCCCCCATGTGCAGCGCCTCTCAATGGCAGCTGTCTCGCTTGCACAGTTTGACCCAGCGGCAAGGTTTAACAATGCCCAGTCTGATAGGGGAATCATCGTCTCTGTACATGCACTCGTGTGTATGTGTTTGTACTATACCGTGACCTCCTGCCAGCGAGCCTTCAACAGTTCACGTGGCCTCAAGGTGCACCTAGCCTGGCACAAGCGTTATGGTGACGTCACCACCAGTAAAGTGGCAAACGGCGGTTGTTGTTTACTGTACTTGTGAGTGCGTGTAAGTGAACGTGGGTAGCACTGCACCATATCCTGGCTACCTCGGGCCAATTCCTGGACATGGCTGTGTGTCCATCGCAGTCAACATCAGAACTGGTCCCAGCGACTACCACCTCGTTAAGGGCCAGGATGTGTTGCGCAAAATGTATTTAACTATTATCTTAGATTCCTGTCGCAATCGATATAAACTTTGGGAGTGTTTCACTTTGGATGTTTTATAGAACATGATTACTCGTGCGGTTTCTAAGCAATAGGACTGGCGAAAAAAAAGAAAATACTTAAAAGCATTTGGTGAATACAAGATGTAAAACATTTGATTATTAAATCGAATATCACACCGTGAAATTTGACCAGGGCATAATATCAGCAATGTCTGACTGGGTTGGCGATCAAGAAAATATTCCCTCACTCCCTACCAGCCATCGGGAAAATATTCAATGGGAAAATAATCCCTGAAGGGACGTGCATTTATAGGGTGCTTAAATGTCCCGGCAGCCTCAAAGCAAGCGCCTCACGTTACATCTCATGTCATACAATCGAATGCCCTGCTCCAGTCTAGCCGAGGGGGACCCCCCGGGGGCAGCTGTCCCTGTGCGGCACAAGATGGGCATGAGTACCAGTAGAGGGCGGTGTTGCCGTGTGCCTTTTTTTTCCCCCAATTCACTAAATTTGCCAGTGATTTGGAAAATCTGGACGGCGACGAATAACTCGGTGCGGCGGTGAACGTCCACTCGCGTGCTCTGGCCACGCGCGCCCGCCCGCCCCCTCCTACAGGACGTGATCCAGCAGGCGACCAACAGCATCATGCGAGGCGGCACCATGAACGTGCCCTTGGTGTCGGCCAAGTCGATCGCTGAGCAGCTGGCAGAGAAGATCAACGCCAAGCTCAACTACGTGCCCGCCGAGAAGCTGCTAGAGGAGGAGCGCGTGGAGCAGGAGAAGCAGGCGGACAAGGTGCGGCGCTACGAGGAGGAGCTCGAGATCAACGACTTCCCGCAGGTAACTAAAAAAACAAAAACATTTCTATTTTTGCCAGGTAAGGCCCACTGAGCTGGGTTTTTTTTTAGCTCTTTTTTTCAGAAGCAACCTGGCCACACATGATAGCTCAACGTAGTGGCTTGTAGCAGCCATGTTGATTCTGAATGTGGAGGGAAAAACCGGAGGACCCAGAGACAAGTCCCCACTCCACCACGGGGACGTGCAAATTCCAACTATACAGGCACACATTCTCGTATTTACATGCTCGTACGCACGCACCCACCCAAATATTCACATCCTTTGTACATATACTTATATACACATAGTCGCACACACATATACACTCATGCGCATATTCACGCATATGCTTATTCACATTCTCGTACATGCATGTTTTTATACACACACAAACATTTGCAAAAATACGTTTAATATGCATATTCTCTTACACGTGCACGCACAGTGGCAGACATACACGCTCGTACACATACATACACACTCGTACACATACATACTAGACCAGGGGTCAATTATAAATGCAATTAAAGCAGCTTTGTCAGCTGAAATTAAAATTGCATCGTGATTTCGATTAATAAGGAATTACACAATGACAGCTGTAATTAACCGCAGGTCTGACATACACTTGCTAAAAACATACACGCTGTAATACACACTTGTATTACAGCGTGTAAACTCGGACACATGCGGTTAATTGCGAAACACACGCACACTCATAACACACATTTCATGATTCAATAAATCATTAAGTGCCTATTTCTATGCATAAACACTCGTGTGTGTCGGCCGATTGTGCGCGCGGTTGCAATTTGTGTTTTGCAGACGGCTCGCTGGAAGGTGACCTCAAAGGAGGCGTTGGCACAGATCAGCGAATACTCGGAGGCCGCCATCACAATCCGTGGCTCCTACTTCGCTCCGGGCAAAGAGCCGACTGACGGAGAACGCAAGATCTACCTGGCCATTGAGAGTGAGACGCCCACCTGGCACTGGTCATCTTCGTCTGTCCACAGGGCACTCCTCGCCTGGTCCTTCCGCATTGGAAAAAGTGGAATTCACACTGCCACTTGGACCAAAGTATATGGATCGGTTTCATATTCTCTGAGTCTAATCAGCAGGGGTCAGCAGGTTCTGGCCTTCCAGATTGAAAAATAATTTCTTTATAACTGCTTTTTGTGTTTAGTCTGTTGTCCTTCCCTCGCACCTGCGATTAGCACGGTTACCTACGTGCGGTGCGAAAGAAGTTCAACATACGTAAACACTTCTGTGTTGCCTGCTGCTATGGGAAAGAGCTCTCCACATACAGATAAGCACCTTCTAATGCCTGAGATAGCAAGGAGGCTCTTTAACATTATTATTTAAGCACTGAGCCTCAAAGGACCATTGCAATAGCCAGTTTTATGTTTTTTTTATGCATGGCGCGGTCCAGCAGTAGATTTTCACTGCCGTCCACTGAAAATGTAATCCCATTTTCTCCGTGAATACACATCGGGATGCATATTAAAACACGTGTTTTTTTACTTTCTCCATCATCAATTTGCTTCCAAGGCACACTTGAACGTGTGAGTGTTCACCACAAGCTCAGGTTCACAAGAGCATGGGAACGACCGCGATTCTATTCTCTCCTACCACCAGCAACTGCAAACCGTTTCTGCTTTGATTTTCACTTGAAGAGGATCCCCTTTGGCCAGAGTGGATGTTGGCTTGTGTGTAAGAGCCCTTGTGAAATTCTGAGCTCTGCGAATGCTAAAGAAGCTTACGCTTGCTCAGAAGAGATCCACAACATGGACGTGGTAAATAATCGATCCATGACCTCATTGCTGTGTATTCATTGTTGATGATATCCAAATGCTCTTGTTCTGGCCTCGGTTTAAATAGTAATACAAATATATACAATCCTCAAAGATTCCGTGATCATTTATTTATTAGATGCCAAACTTGAACAAATTGTTCCTTCTCGGCACAGTTGTGATGGGGATTAAGGGAGGATTTTTGTTTTAATCTCCTACTTCACAATTAATCCGAGCTTGTGGCAGTTTGCCACGCTGCTCGCTTGAATGGTCACCCTGTAATTGAGCATTCCTTTATTCATTTTTTTGTGGGGAGGGGGGTTGGCTTTGTATGCCACCCTTTGTCAATAGTGTCACGAGCAAGCGATTGCAGAGCCGCACCTATACCATGTTTGAGTTTTTGCTGCCGTGCACGATGTTAACAAGCCGCGTGTGTCCACCACAGGCACCAGCGAGTTGTCTGTGCAGAAAGCCAAGGCTGAGGTCACTCGTCTCATCAAGGATGAGCTCATCAGGCTGGTGAGAGAGCGGCATTGCACAGTGGACACTTGCCACACCGTTCTCCCCGTGCAGGCCACCCAATATTCCCAGCCCACACGACACACCGTTCTCTCTGCACACCACACCATTCTCTCTGTGGCGGTCACGCCATTCCTTGTACGAAATGCAAGGGGTCACACCCGATTTGCAGCAAGCTGATGTAGCCACACGTTAGCCTTCACTGTAAATTATTATTTGACGAAGATAAAGGTTGGACTTTTGTATTCGGATGCGATGGTGTTGGGTGGCACACCTGTAATCCAACACTTTGGAGTCAAGGGTTGGTGGATGACACAGATTAGTACAACTCCCGAATTCGCTGAGCTGCAATGTGGCCGCACAGAGAATTGGTTTGTGAACCCATCTGTGGGGACCTTTGTGCGATACCCCCTTCATAGGCGTGGGATTTCTCCACCATAGGAAGCACTCCTTCAGGATTTGAGCAGGGGGTGACCAGGTGACTCACGTGGCCTATTGCTGGCTCAAAGCACTGAGCCCGCACTGCTGAGATTTTGAGTTCAAATCTGGACAGTGACCCATGATTACACAACCGGAATCTTACGTGCTATATATGTGGTGACTTGATGGTCCCAATAAATTATCAAAATAACAAAAACTAGAAATATTACTTTTCACTTCATTTGGCATATTCCGGCTTTCATTTTTTTTCTTTGATTAGCGTGTAATGTTGAACACTCCTTGCAGGGCATGCCAAAGGTGTTCATAATCCTTTTGAAGCACATTCCAAATAGTTACTTTCCCATGACTACTTTCTTCTGGAGTCATCTGTAACACAGGGTGGTACACTTGCTTGCTGTGAGAATTCCAAATGGGAATGTCTTGTGACAAGACGACGGTAGCACAGTGCGAATGTGATTGGTGGGAAAGATAGTTGAAAGGAATTGGCCAATTTCCCAAATGCAAAGCCACTGGACTTTTCCTGGTAAAGTAAAAAGAGACTGAAGCTGATGTCACAAGAGCCTTTGCTTGTATGTATGTTGAACGTCTTTCGCACCGTACGTAGCCAACCATGCTAAGCGGAGATGCGGCGAAGAACAACATACCAAAACGAAAAAAAGCAGCTTCGCGGTAATGTCAATGCGCCAGCGTGACGATAAACTTCTTCGTCTTCTCTTCCCTTGCAGCAAAACTCGTACCAGCCGATCAACAAGTCACGCTACAAGGTTCTGTGAGCCGAGCAGAGAAACCGACGTTGGGCCAAGCTGGTGCCGGTTTTTCAGTGGAAGGTGGCGCATGCGGGGACCCTGCGACGCTCTCACGTCGCGTTCGCGCCTGCGGGATTTTATATATCGTTCTGTGCAGACGGGCTCGTCAAATGGGTGTCTCTGCAGTCCGTCGGATGTTCGTTCGCCCTGGGCAATTTTGGTCGACGTTCTTTTTAGTTTTATTCATTTGTGGAGAATCCATCCATCGGCACGCTTCTCTTGCCGTTTATCTCGTACAAGTAGCTGGAATTTCATCACATGGTAAATTGCTTCAAAAATATGTTGTATCACGTGTCAAATAAAGGTTTTTTTTCAATCTTGGACCATCGTGGCTTTAGTGCTTTTTTTCTGCTTTTGTTAAGATTGCTGCTGTTTGTAAAAAAAATGGTTGTGAAAAATGTTTTTAGAGTTAATCGCATTCTGATCAATAAGATTATTTGAGAATGCTTTTGTTTTTCTACGAATTCAACCCTCCCAAGTAGTTTGACGAATTGTCACAACTCAGGATTATTATTATTTAACTCAAGAATGCGTTTTGTTTCATTCTGGTGAATGATAGTTGCCTCCTGTGGCTGCACAGGTGACGTGATCCCATTACGTAAAATGGTCTTGGTTCTTTTGGTAAAGTCATGTAGAATGGAAACAAAGTAATAAAAATATAACAATAAAATCAAATAAAATTCTCACGACGTGAGAATTTGGATTGACAAACGTCGATTCTCGCACGATTTCATGCATTTGTCTTAAGCTGCTCATCATGGATGTATGTTTAAATGTTTTAAACATGTGACCCCCGTGTGTGTACTGAAGCGCGTGGGCTTTGTGTGGAGCGGGATTAAGTCCGACTTGCACGTTAGGTAATTGCCGCAGGGCGTACGGTGCGCGTGTTTGCGTGTGAGAAGGGTTGACACGACGGTTGGCACTCCATGCTACCATACACAGGGTGGTCCAGATGTCTTTTGACCCCCCCACCACCATCCCCACCAATTGACCCCGACTTTTTTTTTACTTGGCATATTAATTTATGTTTTAAATAAATCTAGCTTAAAAATATTAAGTTTTAGAGAATTAAATAGGGGTCACAAGACATCTGGACCACCCTGGAGGCCGTTCATTGATTTTTGTTGGATTCCTTGCCCCCACACCTTCGGTGACGAATTGATTGGTGGATTTATTGTTCTCATTGTTAGACAATGGATGGGTGGGTAAGTGAATAGCTTGGTGGGTGGATGCATAGCCGACGGAATGGATGGTTGGGTGGGAGTCTGGAAATGTGGTGGGTGGATGGCTGGGAGTTTTGATGCAGGAAAACGTCGTTTTCCATGGTCAGGCTTGCAATGTCCATACCTCTCACAGGCCCCTGTTAACGCTATCAGACACGTTAACAGCATACAGGATCACGTGTGCATTTACAGCATGCGTCTGCAGCGGCGACCAACAGAAAAACGTTCGTTGTGATCGATGCAAGCTTAACCTTCACCTCACTTGACCTAGATGACTTGGAATAACTTGGCATCGGGTACCAACACAGTGGCTTATGTTCCAGCATTCCATGTGGCATGCACTGGCACAGCTTCCTACCTTGCTACTCTACAAGCTTAGCTGTGGCTCGGCAAGACTCCCACGAAGAGCCCAATTTCGCTAGTGGCCACGTGTGGGGGTGACCAACCTAATGCTGTTTGTGTTGACGTAGTTTGAAAATGCACGTGGGGTGTGGTGTGAGACCCATAATGATTGGACTTGGGGCGGTGGGGGTTGCAGGCTTGTATTTTAATCCAGGCCGGCTAACAATCCTTACCCGTAACGGTTTAAACTATACGTGTGGCGACGTTGGTAACGTACCACGCTGCGCCGCTCCTCCGATTGACTTAATCCCCTTTCCCCTCCCTCTTAACTTTTCTCCACCGACCGTGGCCGCCGACAAAAAGCGCACGCGGCCCTGTGGACCTTTTGAGGCCGGACGCCCATCGCTCGCGCTCCGTGCGCTTCGTGCGACGGAGTTGTCTCTCGACAAACGTTGAGGATGCCGGCGCCGCCAACTTGGAATGAGACGTGGGCCTTGGATGTCGAGTCTGTGTTCACGCAGCGGGAGCACAACATCGTGGCGGCATACCTCGTCACCGCCGGTGGGACACTCGCACGCGCCCGTTTTGTTAGATCGTCGTCGGTCACCGCATCATCGGTCGCTGCACCGCACTTTCAGATGCGCTCATGCGGGCGTCTGGAACGTTCCTCCATCTGATATTAGGAAGACACTGGAGCTATGCACTTTTTAAATCTAGATTGAAATCTCATTTCTTTAAAACTGCTTTTTGTGTTTAGTTTGTTGTCCTCCGTTTAGCACGGTCGGCACGGTACCGTGCGAAAGAAGTTAAACATACATACTTTGGTGATGCATATGACCTCTGCAGCCACTATATACACTTATATTCTTGAATCGTATCCCGACCTTAAATCTTGACAGTTCGCTGCATGGTGGGTGGGCTGGACTGCCGCATGCCTCTTGCGTTCATTGTCATGCTCGCACGTTGACTCGTGCGCGTGACGAATACTCATTTTGGTTTCTTTCCCACGCCATTCACATTCGATGGAGTATATTGGCAACCACAAAAAGGGTCTGGCCGGGGGAGGCGATGGCCACGTGATCCAGTAGCCTGAACGGAGAAAGGTGCTTTTGTTTGAACGCCTGTCGAATCGGGGCGGCGAGCAGGCGAAAAAGTCAACTCGGCGCGGAGAATGTTCGCCCGGGGCCCGGAGCAATGATGTGACCACGCTCCGGTTCTGCTCCCTTAGATCAGCTCGGCCTTAACGGCGTATCTGGTGCGGTGCTATCAACACCAGCGCAAAAGGCGTGCCATGCTGTGCGTGCGTGCGTGTGCGCGCACGAGGTGTTGCCCACACCATCGTAATTGTGTGCTGGGCCGGCCTTAAGAAGTGCTTGTGCTCACCAGTTCGTAATTTTTATTTATTGTGCATTTTATAATACATGTCTTTTTGTCGATGTGCATGTACCAATATATTGTGCTTAATGGCTGGATGAATGGATGGTTGGATAAAATAAATGGATGGCTGAAATATGTTTGGCTGAATGGGTGGATGAATGGATGGATGACTGAATGGGTGAATGGCTGGATGAATGGCTTGCTGTATTGGATGCATGACTGGCTGGATGGATGGCTGGTTGCTTGGTTGGACTTGACTGACTTAATATATGCACGCATGGCTCGCTGAATGGCTGAATGGCCGAATGAATGAAGGCATCATCAGCATCGTCAGCAACGTGGTGGTGATGGGCATGTTCGCACGGTTCCGCGTGCTCCGCACGCACACGAACTATATCATCATGAACCTGGCGGTCACCGACATCGGCGTGAGCTCCGTCGGGTACCCGCTGTCCGCCGCGTCGGACCTCCACGGATCCTGGCGCTTTGGTTGGACCGGCTGCCAGGTGCGACTTTGCGTTAACGGGGTCGGGGATTATAAGGAAGAGCTCTCTGTGTTCCAAAAACCCTGAATGCACAAGCTGGGATGAGCCCGAGTAGTCCTTGGGTGGGCGATCACAGTGCGTGAAACAGCTGTCATAGGCTACGTTGTGGTCGGTGAAGAGCAGTGCGGAAAAAAAGTATCTGCTTCTATGCACCCATATTAATGCACCCCGCCAACGTCAATTCACATTGCCCAGCATGGTGAAGTATGGTCAACCCGCACGACTCATGGCATAGGGTGGCCCCCTCATCCAGCAGTGGGGCGACAAAGCGGCTGTACATGTATATGCATCGACTATAAAGACATACAAAGATCCCCAGTATACCATAATATAGGGTTTTTTGGTGGGTTAGGTCGCGTAAATGTGTGTCGTTAAAAGCCTACGTGTTAAATCCCCAGTCTAGCCTTAATACTCTTGGACAAGTGTTGTTCGCGAGCATGTTTTAAAGGCTCACACCAGGTAATCATTTGAGGCTGAGTTGACCTAGGGGAGACCCAGGACCGGTTCAGATAATCGTCGCTGGTGTTGGCCGTGAGCAGGAATTTAACTCGGGTGCTCCGATCCGTAGCGCAGCGCAGCGCGCTAGCCACTGCACTACGGCTCCCCACATACACATCGGCTATGCACGCACATGCGCACACAGCATCCTCATAGAGGCCCTCTCCATGTGCAGGTGTATGCAGCTCTGAACATCTTTTTCGGGATGGCAAGTATTGGGCTTCTCACAGTCGTGGCAGTGGATCGATACTTGGTCGTCTGCAGCAAGAACCCAGGTACACCGACCACAGCTCTGTGTCTCTCCCGTTTCTTGACATGGGGTAAGCACTGAGATCCTTATGAATCCAAGTTGCACTGTGATTGTGTATCATACATGGAGAATGTAAGGCAAGCCACGGTCGTGTGATTGCGCAGGACATGCTTCTTCTAAGGAGGGGGAACGGCAAAACTACACGAACTCTCTCCTGAAGCCCTATTTGTGGCTAACAGACATCGACGTTAGCGTTTAGCCCCTGGCCATACCGCAGCGATGAGCATGAAGACAATTTAATAATCTTGCGGAGCTGTGCATAAAATCGACGACGCACTGGCAAAGCATGTGGTGGAACCAGGGCTTTAATCTGTCATTGATTTTTTTTCGCGTGTAGCTGGTAGATTTCAGCAGCCACGTGAGAGGTTTCCTGGATGTGGTGTGCCCGGGTGCTGAAAAAAAGATGCGCTATCAGGAAGGACCATATATTTGTTTCCCTTTAAGGCCATCCGGCGTTACCGACGAATGTGTTGAGTTCTGAGCGCTCATTCCGTTCCTCTCTCGTCTGCGCGCGCGGGGTGGGCCCCCTGTCCCGTAGTCGAGGGCCGCAGCTACACGAACCTCGTGGCGCTGGCGTGGGCCAACGCCGCCTTCTGGGCTGGGGCGCCGCTCCTCGGCTGGGCCGGGTACGCGCCCGACCCCACGGGAGCGACGTGCACCGTCAACTGGAGGCGCAACGATACGTGAGGGCTCACGACGTCGGCGACTCTCTCGCCGGTCGCTTGGAGTCGTCGGCTCTGCGACGCGTTTTTCTCTTCGGCGACGAGATCCGGCGGGGGTGGGGGGGGTGTAAATAAAATGGGATCACGATGCAATTCGTCAGCAACTGATGGGGGTTTTTTTCTCTCCCCCCCCCCCCCCACGATGCGCGCTCCCAGGTGATGTTTGACGCCTGCGATGTTCCAGCCTGCCACCGTCGTTTGGTTGGGGATGGGTGTTTTCTCGTCGGTTACAGATTTAAAATTGTTTTTAAAGATGCCTCCACCGCCGTAGGCTGCGCCCCAGATGACCAAGGGAGAAAGCCTCTCACCCCTACCCAGCCAGTGTCACTGGATTCAGACACTTTTTTGGGTTTCCCTAGTGACCAACGTTCGTTCGTCAAGACGAATCGTGGACTTATACTGCAGAGGCAAAAAAAAGTTATGTATGGTGTATATATGTTGAACCTTACGTAAACCAACCATGCTAATCGGAGGTGCGGGAATGCAGACTTGGGGTAGAAACTCGAGATTCTTTCAGTTCACGTTGCTACACTGCCGAAACTGTCTGGTGACATGGTTGGCAATTTTCAAAGGTCGATTCCGCAACTTTTTGAGATTCGTTGCCAACTTTACGCTTGTCAGAGCTGGCAACACCGCTCCCCCACCACACACACACCCCCACACACACACCACACACACAACACACCACACACACACCACACACACACAACACACCACACACACCACACACACAACACACACACACACCACACACACACTACACAACACACACACCACACATACAACACACACACCACACACACACAACACACACACCACACACACACACAACACACACACCACACACACACACAACACACACACCACACACACACCACACACACACCACACACACCCCACACACACACACACCACAACACACACCACACACACAACACACACACACAACACACACACAACACACACCACACACACAACACACCACACACACAACACACCACACACACAACACACCACACACACAACACACACCACACACACACCACCCACACAACACACCACACACACAACACACACAACACACACACCACACACACACACCACACACACAACAACACACCACACACCACACACACAACACACCACACACACACCACACACAACACACCACACACACAACACACCACACACACACAACACACCACGCACACAACAAACACACAACACACACAGCACACACACACAACACACCACACACACAACACACACACACACCACACTCAACACACACACACCACACACACAACACACCACACAACACACCACACACACAACACACACCACACACACAACACACCACACACACACCACACAGCACACCACACACACAACACACCACGCACACAACAAACACACAACACACACACCACACACACCACACAACACACCACGCACACAACAAACACACCACACACACAACACACCATACACACACCACACACAACACACCACACACACACCACGCACACAACAAACACACAACACACACATCACACACACACACCACACACACAACACACCACACACACACAACACACCACGCACACAACAAACACACCACACACACACAACACACACACACCATACACACAACACACTGGGCGGCGGTGCACCCCACGGTGCTCAGCCAGTAACCTGTCCTCGTGGTAACCTGTCCTCGTGGTAACCTGTACTCGTGGTAACCCGCCCTCGTGGTAACCCGCCCTCGTGGTAACATGTACTCGTGGTAACCTGTCCTCGTGGTAACCTGTACTCGTGGTAACCTGTACTCGTGGTAACCTGTACTCGTGGTAACCCGCCCTCGTGGTAACCCGCCCTCGTGGTAACCCGCCCTCGTGGTAACCTGTACTCGTGGTAACCTGTCCTCGTGGTAACCTGTACTCGTGGTAACCTGTACTCGTGGTAACCTGTACTCGTGGTAACCCGCCCTCGTGGTAACCCGCCCTCGTGGTAACCCGCCCTCGTGGTAACCTGTACTCGTGGTAACCTGTCCTCGTGGTAACCCGCCCTCGTGGTAACCCGCCCTCGTGGTAACCCGCCCTCGTGGTAACCTGTACTCGTGGTAACATGTACTCGTGGTAACCTGTACTCGTGGTAACCTGTACTCGTGGTAACCTGTCCTCGTGGTAACCCGTACTCGTGGTAACCTGTACTCGTGGTAACCCTCACTCCATCCGGCACGCGCGTCTCCCCACCCATTGCAGCCTCCTCTTCCCAACTACTCTGCATCTATGACACTTTCGTTCGATTACGCACTTCCAAGTTGCTTACACTATCCTTTAAATGCCCTGTCACCCTCCGACAAGACGCAACACCAGTGCAATTGGGATGATGATGGCGAGATGTTAACTACCTCGCCTGGTATGCAGGGGTCGTAGGTTCGACACCGACCCTGACGCCTGCTTCTGTATATTTGGAGTTGGCGTGTCTCTCTCCCCGTGGTCGCGTGGATTTTTCTCCGGGTCCTCCACGTTTACGCTCCACATTTAGAAACACGCATTTAAGAGGATTTGGCTGGTATACATTTCCACGTGATGATAAGCCACTTCGTTGAGCAATCATTTGTGGCCAGGGCGCTTCTGAAACAAGAACTATGTAGCTCAGTGGGACTTTTCCTGGTAAAATAAAAAAACAAAAATGTACGTTACGATCGTGATGATGATTATTACAGAATGCCTAGGCGAGTGCTGTGAGCGAGCTCCTGCTAAGGGTGGCCGTGTTCTCCGCGTGCGCCCAGCTCGTTTGTGTCGTACACGTTGGCGGTGATCGCGGTGAACTTTGTGCTGCCGCTGGGGGTGATGTCGTGGTGCTACCGCAAGGTGATCCTCGTCCTGCGGCACGAACAGAGGACCTCCTCGCTGGACTGGGCTGATCAGAGCGCTGTCACCAAGGTTTGTTAATCATCAGCATCGACAATCGGTATTTGTGGTATTGTCACCACCACCATCAGCAGCAAGCAGCATAACAGAAGCTGCATCAGTGGTAATAGCAGCAACACCACCGTCATCGTGGTTATTATTAGCAGCAGCAGTAGCAGCAGAAACGGCAGCTTCAACAATAAAAGCAGTCACAGCATAATCACCACGACCACCGTTATCACCACCACCATCATCATCAATCATCAGCAGCAGTAGCATCATTATCACTACCGTTATCAGCACCAGCACCATCATCACCACCACCATCATCAATCATCACCAGCAGTAGCATAATTATCACCAGCATCACCACCGCCAGCATAACCACCAACAACAACAGCCGCCAATTGGCCACCGAGTGGCGGGGACGTCACGGCAGCGCTTCGTGCCAGACTAGGTGCACATTGAGGCCACGCGACGTGTCAAAGGCTTCTGCTGGCAGGCGGTCACGAGGCAGACCCGGGTGTCACGTGTTAACTTAGATGACTGACAGGTGCACCGCCACCGCCGAGATGAATGACAGATGCATCACCACCACCAAACCAAAGACAAAGATCCCCCGTGTAGCCCGTAACAGACTGTTGTGACAAGTGCTGTTAGCGGGCGCCTGTGAAGGCCGGCAAGGCAAACGAGGGGGTTGGGTGGCCAGCACCGCGCCCGGGCCGCCTTTGTCTCCCCAGCGGCGAATATTTACACGCTGCACCAGCAGCAACCCATTTGAGGTCGAGTCGAGCACCAATCACCATCCAGGAACACGATGCAAAAAGTTGTCCCCGGGGTTTCGTTCGTTGATCGACGGCGGTGGCGTCGGCGCGTGGCGAGCAGATGTCGCTGGCGATGATCGGCGCCTTCGTCACCGCGTGGTCGCCCTACGCCGTCGTGTGCCTCTGGGCCTCGTTCGGGGAACCTCGTCACATCCCGCCGGCCGTGGCCATCATCGCGCCCCTCTTCGCAAAGTCGTCCACCTTCTACAACCCGCTCATCTACGTGGCCACCAACAGGCGGTGGGTGCGGTGGTGTGGCCGCTCGTCGCTACCCCCACAACCCACCCCCCCCCCGTGCCCCGCGCTCACGCAAACGCGGAGATGTCCGCGGGACAAAACGGACAGGCGCGATGCCCTTCATGGCATTAACGCACGAGGTGTTCAAACTTTCAACTATTTTTGTTTTAATTTCACCCAGGTAAGGCCCGCTTAGCTATACGTAGCTCTTTTTCAGAAGCGACCTGGCCACAAATGACAGGTCGACAAAGTGGCTAACCACGTGGACATTTAGAGCAGCCACATACCCTCGACGCACGTTGGTTCTCAATGTCGAGGGAAAATCCACACGACCACGGGGAGAACATCCAAACTCCAAATATACAAGAGGCGTCAGGGTCGTGCATCGAACCCACGACTTCCTGCATACGTGGCGAGCAAGTTACCATCTCGCCACCGCGGCGCCCCGTGTTAAGACATTGGAACGCCAACTATACACTGATCGCAAGCAGTGCCGGATTACCCTAGTAGCAAAAGTAGCATATGCCCCGCGCTAAATGCTTTCAAGCTATCAATTCCGGTTCAGTGATTCTGCACTTGCTCTCTTACTATAGTACTATACCACCTTCAACTTTTATGAACGACTGGGTGTTTAAGGTTAGCGATTTGTCCTATTATCTGGCCGTATAGCAAATGAAAAAAATACAATTACTCTACTATGCAAGTTAAACATTTATGTTTTAATATTTATGTTTTTTTTTATATTTAAGGCCCCTTTATAACAACATATGCTACAGGCCCCGCACCACCTTCATCCGGCACTGATGACAAGGCATCTTCAAGTCTGCATTAACCACGCATGACTCGTGGTATAACATGCAAACAAATGGGCTCCTTGAAACTGATTGGCAGAAGCATATTTGTTTGCTCATTGCACCACGAGTGAGTGTGTGTGTGGTTAATGCTGACTTGATGATGCCTTGTCATCAGTGTCGATTTGGTGTTTGAACATCTTAACACCTCCTGTATTAATTGCCAGACTAGGGTTAAAGCCTTTTCTTATTTTAATCATCTTCATTCCGGCAAAAAGGGTCATACAGATACAAAGATCCCCCTTATAGCCTGAACAGACTTTTGGCAAAAGTGCTGTTAGCGAGTAGCACCTACGAAGGCTAACACAGCACAACAATGGGGTGGGTGGCCAGCACCCCCTTTGTCTCCCCAATGCCGATGTCTACACACTGCCCTAGGTACTCATTTAAGGCTGAGTAGACCTAGGGAAGGCCCAGGACTGGATCAGATAATCGTCACTGGTGTTGGTCATGAGCGGGAATTGCTGAATTCGTAGCGCAGCGCGCTAACCGCTGTACCAACGCTCCCCACATGCACACACACACATTTCACACACGTACAGCAAAAACACACTACTGCTACCACCACTTTCACACAGCATAAACGACGCATCTCTCACCTCAACCAAATACTTTATTTTAACGAGGTGACGGCCCATTGAGATAACGTGACACCTCTTCAATGGGATTTGAGAAGCAAAGCCCCTGAGCCGAAGAATCGGAAGCTCCCAGCTCTCCGGTTCTATTCATGGATGACCTTGTTGATGGATGTAGGCTTACGACACCTTGCGTATGTATGAGAGTTTGCGGGTGCACGTGTGTGTGTGTCGGTGTGTGTGTCGGTGTGTGTGTGTGGAGGGTGGTAGTGCAGCGGGTAGCGCGCTGCGCTGCGTACCCGGTGACCCGATTTCGATTCCCGCTTACGGCCAAAACCAGTGACGATCATCTGAACTGGTCCTGGGCCTCCCCTAGGTCGACTCAGCCTCAAATGAGTACTTGGTGTGGTGTGTAAACATCGCCACTGGGGAGACAAAGGCGGCCGGGCGTGGTGCTGGCCACCCACCCCCTCGTGTGCCGTGTCGACGTTCATAGGTGCTCGCAAACAGCACTTGACCCAACAGTCGTTAATTATGTACGGGAGATCTTTGTCTTTGTATATGTGTGTTGATGGGTGTGGGTGTGTGCATGTGTTGGAGGGTTAGCGCACTGCACCAAGAACCCGATGACCTTAGTATGATTCTCAGCCACGGCTTAATATCCGTGGTGAGTCATATCACTAGCACGGTCGGCTGCGTACGGTAGGAAAGAAGTTCAACATCCGTACATACGAACCAGTGCTGGGCCCCTCAACTCTCCAACCCGCCTTGGCCAGCGCGAGTGAAGTATGGTCAAACAACCCCCACGGCCGGCACGGTGGGGAGAGGCGTCCACCCAGCACTGGTTTGGTAAAAGCTAACCGACTGACTTGCGTAACGACAGCAGTATTCGCTTGTGTATTCGTGAAGAGACAAAACGGAGTACGTACAAATATACACACATACGGCCTGTTCTCCAATAACGCGGTAGTTGCTGTGTTCCTGAAGAACACCGCGTGATGGAAAAATCGCGTTATAATAAATAACAAATATTATATAGGATCAAGTACATTCCGCGATAACGCGTGAGATGCGTACGCAGGCTGAACAAAGAGGCGCGTGGGTAGCGCCTCGAAGCATCCAGCAGCATCCCGCCTCGTGTCACGTGACGCCAAGGCAGCCGTACAAACCGCGTAGTTCCGTTCACTTGATCGCGTGATATCAAATTCGTTGTATCTATTCGAAAAATGTGTTGCCTTAATACATTCATCGCGTTGTGAAAGCAGGCGTTATAGGAGAACAGTCTACATGCGGCAAGAGTGTCACACGGAACAGGGGTTCATACGCACGTTAAGAGTCATCGTGTTGACTGTTGAGCGCACGTGGACCTGGGCGGGACACGCCACACGGAGGTGGATGGCGGTGGCCAAGATGAACGTCCGCACCAACGGAGCGACCACGCATGGCTCCTCGGAGACGGGGCGATGAAATTGGCTCTCGCGATGTAGGAGCTGGGTGGGATTGTCACGTCCCACGACCGTGAGATGAAGCCTTGGGCGGGCCTCCACCAGCAGCGTAACGAGCGTGGGGCAGGCAGGGGGTGCCTTGGCCCTCCCGCTGGTGGCCAAAGCTACGAGTTGAGGCTCCCTCGACAACCACCTTGAGAGACAAATCAAATTTTGGGGCCCCCACCTGAAAGATCGCAATACCCCCCGAGCTGATAATGTAGTTACAGCCAATGGCCTCCATCCAAATATGGACAAATCATGACTATCAATGATGACGATAATGATGATGATGATGTGACAACACGCTGTGCGAATCTACACGTGCGCGCGTTTACGTGTTTGTTTGCCCGCAGCTTCCGTAAAGCCATGGCGTCGCTTCTCCGCTGTCAGAACTATCAAGAGTTCACTCTGCAAGAAGCCACTAGCATCAAGACGGTATCGTGAGCACGCGCCCAGAGCGGGGAGAGAGAGAGACATTGACGCCGACGCTCACCGACGCCGCCGCCTCTCTCGTCCCACCGCTCCAAACGTTCGGGACGCGCGGCCTCGCAAAATCGTGGCACCGCGCGGCGTCTGTCCCGAGTAAAAATAAATCTCGCGTTGGCGAATTCAAACACGGATTGCGTCGCGAATACTTGACACACCAGCATTACGGTCCACGGCTCCTCGCTATAGATGGGAGTGAAAAAGTAGCGGTACAGGTGACGATAATCACAATGAGCATAGCAGGTTGTACCAACGTGCTTTTCGGCTTGTCGCCCGACGTTTCCGCTCAACCTGCTGGGAGCTTACTCTCTGGTTCTTTCGGTAAAGTCACGTAGATAAAAAATATTATAAAAGAACACCACGTCCGTGATCAGGTGGTGACGGATGCTTGTGTCGCGACCGAAACGTCACCTGATGACGGACGCTTGTGTCGCGACCGAAACGTCGTGTTCTTCTATCTACGTGACTTTACCGAAAGAACCAGAGAGTATGTATTCCTGCAGTCACGAAAGCTTCAAATCAAGATTAGTGCTGGGAGCTTCTTCAGTTCCTGACAAAGCTCCCATTACGCGGAGCGAGACGTCGGGCATCATGCCGAACGGCGCGCGGTAACAAACCCGTGCAGCGCAACCGCGAAAAACCGACGCAGTGGAGATTATCGTCGAGTTTTAACATTCCTTTACTGGGCATGACGCAGCGCTTGCGGCCAAGGTTTGGTGGATCACGGAAGTTTTGCGAAACTCCCAAAGCCGCTGGGCTGCAAGGTGGTAGCTATGAGGTGGATGTACAGTGAGGGAAAAAAAAGTATTTGATCCCCTGCTGATTTTGTACGTTTGCCCACTGACAAAGAAATGATCAGTCTATAATTTTAATGGTAGGTTTATTTGAACAGTGAGAGACAGAATAACAACAACAAAATCCAGAAAAATGCATGTCAAACATGTTATAAATTGATTTGCATTTTAATGAGGGAAATAAGTATTTGTCCCCCTCTGCAAAACATGACTTAGTATTGGTGGCAAAACCCTTGTTGGCAATCACAGAGGTCAGACGTTTCTTGTAGTTGGCCACCAGGTTTGCACACATCTCAGGAGGGATTTTGTCCCACTCCTCTTTGCAGATCTTCTCCAAGTCATTAAGGTTTCGAGGCTGACGTTTGGCAACTCGAACCTTCAGCTCCCTCCACAGATTTTCTATGGGATTAAGGTCTGGTGACTGGCTAGGCCACTCCAGTACCTTAATGTGCTTCTTCTTGAGCCACTCCTTTGTTGCCTTGGCCGTGTGTTTTGGGTCATTGTCATGCTGGAATACCTATCCACGACCCATTTTCAATGCCCTGGCTGAGGGAAGGAGGTACTCACCCAAGATTTGACGGTACATGGCCCCGTCCATCGTCCCTTTGATGCGGTGAAGTTGTCCTGTCCCCTTAGCAGAAAAAACACCCCCAAAGCATGTTTCCACCTCCATGTTTGACGGTGGGGATGGTGTTCTTGGGGTCATAGGCAGCATTCCTCCTCCTCCAAACACGGCGAGTTGAGTTGATGCCAAAGAGCTCCATTTTGGTCTCATCTGACCACAAAACTTTCACCCAGTTGTCCTCTGAATCATTCAGATGTTAATTTGGAAACTTCAGACGGGCATGTATATGTGCTTTCTTGAGCAGGGGGACCTTGCGGGCGCTGCATGATTTCAGTCCTTCACGGCGTAGTGTGTTACCAATTGTTTTCTTGGTGACTATGGTCCCAGCTGCCTTGAGATCATTGACAAGATCTTCCCGTGTAGTTCTGGGCTGATTCCTCAACGTTCTCATGATCATTGCAACTCCACGAGGTGAGATCTTGCATGGAGCCCCAGGCCGAGGGAGATTGACAGTTCTTTGTGTTTCTTCCATTTGCGAATAATCGCACTAACTGTTGTCACCTTCTCACCAAGCTGCTTGGCAATGGTCTTGTAGCCCATTCCAGCCTTGTGTAGGTCTACAATCTTGTCCCTGACATCCTTGGAGAGCTCTTTGGCCTTGGCCATGGTGGAGAGTTTGGAATCTGATTGATTGATTGCTTCTGTAGACAGGTGTCTTTTATACAGGTAACAAGCTGAGATTAGGAGCACTCCCTTTAAGAGTGTGCTCCTAATCTCAGCTCGTTACCTGTATAAAAGACACCTGGGAGCCAGAAATCTTTCTGATTGAGAGGGGGTCAAATACTTATTTCCCTCATTAAAATGCAAATAAATTTTTGACATGCGTTTTTCTGGATTTTTTTGTTGTTATGCTGTCTCTCACTGTTCAAATAAACCTACCATTAAAATTATAGACTGATCATTTCTTTGTCAGTGGGCAAACGTACAAAATCAGCAGGGGATCAAATACTTTTTTCCCTCACTGTAACTACGGTGAGTTATCTTCCCGTGCGTCTCTTTCGTTCTCCATGGCCCCTCTCCTTCCCATCTGCACGGCGCCCCGCCGAGGCCGGAGTAATTATTCCTGGCAATGCCCTCTGCTCTACGATGTGTAAGCGGGGCGCTCTCTGCCGCACCGCGCTACGAACCTGGCGCCATGCGAATTCGATTCCCGGCCACGGCTACTTTAATTCGGTGGAAAGTGGTATCGGAGAACATGTCCTCCCCCTAGGTCGACTCAGCCTTGAATGAGTCTTATCAGTAGAGGTCAGCACTGGCCCTGCGGCTCACCTTGGTTCTGCCTCCTTCCAGCGTCTGCTCGGCGTGTTCCTTGCGACAGAGCTCCGTGTCGCTCGCCGCTTGCAGGCTGTCGAAGGGGATCGCGTTGGCTTCTACCGCCGTGCCTCCGACTCCTCCACCTCCTCTTCCTCCACCACCCTCCTCCTCGTCCCGACTCCAGCGGGCCCCGCGTGCCTTCTTCATCTTGCGACCGCCGCTCTTTCCCACACCACCATCGCCTGTCGTGGACGAGACAACAACAGCAACCGACGTTCGCCACTAAGTGGCAGTGACGTCACCACGGCGCTTGTGCCAGGCTGTGTGCACGTTAAGGCCACGTGAAGTGTCGAACGCCGGCTGGCAGGAGGTCACAGCACAGACCCAGGTGCCATGGGTTGACTGACTGAGATGACTGGCCGATGCACCACACACACAAACACCGAGTGATTCACGTGGACCCCACGTCACCTTCGATGAGCACGTTTGCCTACATACGGTGCAAAAGAAGTTTAACATACATACGTCGTACAATTCGACGCAATACCCCGCACCAGATCTGGGTACAAACCAAATACCGTGACCACGTGAACATAGATGCCAATTGCAGGACTGTTCCGGTCAAACCTAGAAGGGTGGGGTTACCACCTGCCTGGGTTACCACCTGCCTGGGTTACCACCTGCCTGGGTTACCGCCTGCCTGGGTTACCACCTGCCTGGGTTACCACCTGCCTGTGTTACCGCCTGCCTGGGTTACCAACTGCATGGGTTACCACCTGCCTGGGTTACCACCTGCCTGGGTTACCACCTGCCTGGGTTACCACCTGCCTGTGTTACCAACTGCCTGTGTTACCACCTGCCTGAGTTACCACCTGCCTGGGTTACCACCTGCCTGTGTTACCGCCTGCCTGGGTTACCACCTGCCTGGGTTACCACCTGCCTGGGTTACCAACTGCCTGTGTTACCACCTGCCTGGGTTACCACCTGCCTGGGTTACCAACTGCCTGTGTTACCACCTGCCTGTGTTACCACCTGCCTGGGTTACCACCTGCCTGGGTTACCAACTGCCTGTGTTACCACCTGCCTGGGTTACCACCTGCCTGTGTTACCAACTGCCTGGGTTACCACCTGCCTGGGTTACCGCCTGCCTGGGTTACCACCTTTTGATGTTTTTTGTTTACTATTTTTTGACTACTTCTACTTTTATTTTACCAGGTAAGGCCCACTGAGCTATACAGCTCTTTTTTCAGAAGCGACCTGGTCACAAAAAATAGCTCAACGAAGTGGCTTATCATCACGTGGGAATGTATCGCAGTCAATTACTCTAAATGCGCGTTGATTCTAAATGTGGAAGGAAAAACCAGAGGACCCGGAGAGGCGCACGCAAACTCCAAATATAGAAGCATCAGGGTCGGTATCGAACCCACGACCTCCTGTATACCAGGCGAGGTAGTTAACATCTCGCAACACAGACACCTTCCCACCGCCCCCCCCCCTCTGCCGACCTCCGCTCACCCATGCGACTCTGCGCGAGGTTGACCCCCGTGCTGAGCGACCTCCGGCCGCAGCACGAGCAGCCGGGTGGCGCGCAGCGGCACGCGGCGGGAGCGCGCGCGTCCCACGTGCACGCGAAGATGCCCGCGGGCACGATGAGCAGCATGGCGCTCACGACCACCACCACGTGGATGAGCTTCTCGCGCTGCTCCATCTCGCTCGACTCCTCGCTGCCCGTCACGAACGTCACGCACTGGCCGTGCCGCGACGCCGGCGCCGCGTCGCGCACCAGCACGCACGCCTCGTACTTGGTCACGGGCCGCAGGTCGCTCAGCGAGTACGTGCTCACGCCCGGCCCGATGTACACCAGCTCCTTGGTGGTCGAGTCCGCCGGGCCGTAGTGGAGAGAGAACCAGACGTCCTCGCGTTCGTCGCCGCCGGCGTCGAAGCCGCCGCCGCCGCCGATTCTGACGCAAGTCCAGGCGAGGGTGACGGCGCGCGCGCCCTGCTTGGACACGCGCAGGTCCAGGCGCGTTCTGCCCGCGGGGCCGAGGTGGCCGCGGTGGTCCGGACGCGACCTCCTCGCGGGCGGAGGTGCCGGCGGGGCCGGCGGCCCGGCCTCGCGGGGGGCCACGGCCACGGCGAGGGAGAAGCCGGCCCGCGCGTCGCCCGCGAAGCTGGAGGCGGAGCACGCGTAGAGACCCGCGTCCGACGGGAGCACGGGCGCGACGCGCAGCGTGGACAGCAGCGTCTCCTCGTCCGCCTGCACAACGGAGGCTGCGGGGAGACGGGCGGGAATGGATGTGGAGATGCGTGGAGAGATGCGCGGGTGGAGGGGAGACGGATGAACAGACAGGACGGGTGTTAACCTTCGAATTATTATTATGTGAAATGGAAAATCAACAGTGGGTGTCCTTTGGACAAACTCTCACTCGCCACTGAAATGTGGAAATTCCACCACTGGTTCCGGGCTGTTTGAGTGGAAACCAATTTGACTTTAAACCCCTGCATGTTGTATGTCAAACTTCTTTCGCGCCGTACGTAGCCAACCATGCAAACCGGAGGATGGACGGATGGGCAAAACGGGGATAGATGAACGGATATAATAAAAAAGACACTGACGGATGGTGGAGGGCGGACAAGGGCCCCGTGGACAGGACGGATGGGTGGGTGAGTGGACGATGGAGGAAAAGACACGGACGGACGCGTGGACAGGACGGGCGGATGAAGTGAGCCAGGGAACGATGGATGGATGCGGAGGAGAGGGCGTTGTGGGTATCTTTTTTTAAGAACAGCAACTGACAAACGCCTTCGTAGCCGGGCAACAGCCAACAGGTAGTGGTGGTGGGGAAGGGGCCCACGGGATCGCGCCACGTTTCAGCGTCCCCAGCGAAGTCACCAAAACAGCGCGCGCGAGCTCCCCCTATCGGCCGCGCGGAATCACCGCGCATATCACGGGCGAGGGTGTGTGGGGGGGTCTGGTGCACGCCATGTGTGTGTGGCAGTCTACTGCCCGCCGTGATCGCGGTAGCAACACGACGATGATTGTTATTGTTGTTGCAAGGCCGTAGCCATGGTGTCAACATTGGGGGGGGGGACCAAATCTTCCAGGGAGTCTGGGGGTCCCCCCCAGAAAAAAAAATCTAAATTTGAAAAAGAATTTCATGCCTAAAATAAAAAAAAAGAATTCACCAACACATAGGATGGACTTTTTGTTTGTCTATTGGGATGTGTCCCCCCGAATATATATTATAATTACGGCCTTGTGTTGTTGTGATGGTGGTGGTGAGTGAGTGTCGCGCGTGCTCGTCTTGCCGAGCCAGGCGACCGCCGTTTCATCATCATCATCAGCAGCAGCGATCAATAGGGGGCCCCTATTGAGTGACCGCTCGGGCGCACGCACGCACGCAGTTTGCCAGGGGGCCCGGGATTGTTTAGCTCCCAGTTACGATCAAGCCCGCCCATGCGACATTCCTGGTCCGTGGACAACGTGAATTACCTTCGCTGTCAACGTGCTTTAGAATGTGCGTGCGAGTGCTGTGAGTGTAAGTTAATATTGTTGCTCCAACCGGCATAGTCCAGGGAGGCCCTTATCCATCCAGCAGTGGACAGATCAAAAAGGGCTTTGCACGCGTACAGATTGCTGCGCGTTCAACGCAATGTCTGTGATTCTGCAGCGTCAGCGGTGCACACCCACAAACAACAAAAAACTCATCACATTGGCCAATAACACAGCCCTTAAATAATGCAAATGTATATGTACAACTATATTTGCATTGTGACCACAAGCATTGTGGTTAATGCAGACGTGATTCCTTGTAAAAGGTTTACGTTTGGTGTTTTAACATCTTAACACAGCTGTTTTGTTGCCAGAAAAAAACAGTGGGAAACCTATTACCTTACTCAAGAATGTCAGTGTGGAACGTGCGTGACGTCACTCCACGTCGACCAGCCCCCCTCATTAATAATCATGAACAGGTTACGTCCTCCACATGGACCCGCCCCTCGTTAATAATCATGAGCGGGTGACGTCACTCCACATCGAACAGCCCCCCTCATTAATAATCATGAACAGGTGGGGTCCTCCACATGGACACCCCCCCACCCCGCCATTAATAATTATTAGCGGCTGACGTCACTCCACATTGGGGGGGCGAGGCGCCTCCTCCCCCCTCCTCGGCGTCAACTTAGAACCCTCACTACAAAGGCAGAACCCTCACGACACGTGATCTCCGTCACGCTATTGAGACATCAAAGTAAAAAGGACGTCATTATGAACAAGGGATTATAACCTTTAAATTAAATAATTCTGTGTCACCGCGGCCTTACAAACTGCACGCGCATTGATGCAATAAATATCACGTCGCGGTCTGCTTTTCGCTTGCAAGTTTCAGATTTACTGCAATACACCCGTCCTTGGACGGGCAAAAGGCTAGTCTATTATAAACGACGTTTTGGGCAATGGCTCTTCTTTATATCACATATATAGGTGTGTACACAACGTGACATACACACAAACTATTAAACTAAACTATTTTTTGTTTTACCGGGTAAGCCCCACTGAGCTATATAGCTCTTTTCAGAAGCGACCTGGCCACAAATGATGGCTCAACGAAGTGGCATAACCATTGACTTTAAACGTAAATGTGGAGGGAAAAAACTGGAGGACCCGGAGAAAAATCCACGTGACCACGGGGAGAACATGCAAACTCCAAATATAATATATAAATGTGTCGTTAAACCCGCCGCCACCGGACACAGCCAATTAGTAAGGTTTGTCACGTAAACAGAACATGCCAATTCGTTACTAGTACAGCACACCGGTGTGTTGGAGAGCAAAGCCACACAATTTACAATCTGAGTACGACATTTCACCAGTAAGTACAACTAGCTTCATCAGGCGACAAATATACAGGCGTCGTCAGGGTCAGTATCGAACCCACAACCTCCTGTATACCAGGCAAGGTAGGTAAGATTTCGTCACCCTGATGATGATGGTGATGAGAGAGAAAGAGAGGGACACGAAAACTCCAAATATGTAGGCGTCGTCATGATCGAGATCGAACCCACGATCTCCTGTATACCAGGCAAGGTAGGTAAGATTTCGTCACCCTGATGATGATGGTGATGAGAGAGAAAGAGAGGGACACGAAAACTCCAAATATGTAGGCGTCGTCAGGATCGAGATCGAACCCACGACCTCCTGTATACCAGGCAAGGTAGGTAACATCTCCAGACCACCGTGGCGTCCCAACACGTGTACCCACCCTGCAGGCGGCGCGCGTTTGTCGTCTGGTAGCTCCAGGCCACGGTGGGCAGTGGCCTGCCCGTGGCCGTGCATCGCACCGACACCTCTCGGCCCACGGCCACGGTCGCGTTGCCCTTGTCCAGGGAGACCGAGGGCCTCGAGCACGGACTCAGGCGCAGGTCGTGGAAGAAAAGTCCCGCGCGCAGCTCGGGGCCCGCGCACGTGATGTAAGAGTTCATGAGGATGACGGGCGGTTGCGCTTTACGCACGAACTCCACCAACCCGCGCAGGCGACAGTCGCACATCCACGGGTTGTCGTGCAGAGCCAGCACGACGCTGCTGCCGCTGACGGCGCTCTCGCTACCACTGCCGGAGACGCCGCCGCCGCCACCGGCAACGCCCGCGCTACCACCGACCCCGGCCACCGGCGCGGCTTTGATGGGCCACTCGGCAAAGACGGCGCTGGAAGCCACGCTCAGCTTGTTGGAGGAGAGGTCGAGATACGCGAGGCCACTGAGGAAGCTCAGCGCGTGCTCTGGGAGCGCGTCCAGGCGGTTGAGACGCAGGTCCAGGAGACGAAGTCGCGGCGTGTGGCGGAACGCGGTCCAGGGCAGGCTGCGCAGGCGGTTGCCGCGCAGCCGTAGCTCGCTGAGCCGGCCCAGACCCTCCAGGCCGCCGGCCTCGATGAGCGTGATGTTGTTGAAGTTGAGCCACAGCGAGTGCAGGTCCGGGGCGGAGGAGAAGGCCTGGTTCGGGATCTCGGCCAGAGGGGAGTTCTCCACGCGGAGTTTGGTTACGTCCGCTGGCAGCCAGGCTGGGATGTGCCGGTCCTTGAACGCCATGCAGAGGATGCTCCTGCCCAGGGAGAAAGACAATGCCAGTGTGCTGGTGTGCGGTGTGTGGCGGTGCATAGTGCTTGGTCACCCACCCTCTCGTGCGCACTGACGGCCTTCGTAGGCGCGCTACTCGCTGACAGCACTTTCCCCAACCGTGTGTTATGGAGACCTCGACTATGATCCACGATATTCGGACTGATCTCTCTCTTTCTCTCTCCGTCTCTCTGCACGGTCCGAGGAAGAGGCAGTGCTTGGAATGGCAGTGGACTGCCCTCTACGCTTCACGTTCGTGTTGTAAGGCGGTGCTACCTAACCCGTGGCTATCTTCGTTGTCCTACTCGCATGCGAATTTTAACTCAAATCCTCCACTCACCTCTGCCCCTTTGATTTGGCTTTGCCTTTAAGTCTCCTGTTTCGCACTTTAATAAAAGTGCGAAACACACTGAAGACGACCGCTTGCATTGCGATCGAAACGTCGTAGTTTTCAGTTATGTTTTTTATTATTTTCTTTGAACCTATCTTCGTGATTTTACCGAAAGACCCAAGAATATACATAAAATGTCTTCACGCATGACAAGTCGAATGTATGAAAATGCTGTACCCAATAGATACCAAACATTTTAACGGAAGGCCATGAAGCAAATGTAATAAAAACAACCTCCTGGTTTCAACTTACACCGCAACGGTCTGGATCGCATCTTCCATTAGAACATCGCATGGAAGGATGCAGCCATCTCCTATACTGATGGACAATTGTGAATCTCCAGCCTACAGTTCGACTGCAGTCACCAACCTGATGGCCCTTAACGCCACTGTCTGCTTACATCATTCGCCAGCATTATTTCAGATTGTTTCCACGAGGCTACTCCTGAAGCCATCCACTTGCTCACCCACCGAGCTCCACAATAAACATTGCTGATTAACTCCCCACAAAAAAAGGATAAATGTAAGTCTGTGGTTATCTATGCCAGCCAATGGTTGTGTGTGTGAGTGCATTGATACCGATGTGAGTCTATTTATCTCGATGTGAGTCTATGAACCTCCATGTCAGTCTACGTATGAAACAGTCGACCATCCGATCATTCGCGGGCAGCATTTCAGATATTCACCGTGAGGCTAGTCTTAAAGCCGTTCACTAAGTCTCACACCGACCTCCGATTAGCGTGGTTGGCTACGTACGGTGCGAAAGAAGTTCGACGTACAAGTAAGCGTACATACAATGACGGTCAACCTCCCCCAGCCATAGAAGTGAAAAAGTGTCCGCTGAAGTCAACGCGTGTCTCTCCGCGTCCGTGCGAGTCTCTGGGTCCCGCTGCAAGTCAATGACTCCTACAGGTGCGAGTGATGGCCTGCAACGTGTGCGCCCCACACCTGTCGGTGCCCTCGCTGGTGCAGGTGCATCCCAGCAGGCAGGTGTCGTTCACCGCGGAACCCCCGAGGCGCCCAGCAAAGACGCCCAGCATCAGCAGCACCAGCAGCATCGTGGCGTCCTCAATGTCTCACACTTTGCTTCGTTGCTCTTGTCTTAGTGTTTCAAAACGTGCACCTCCGTGTCATGTCTCCTTCGGTCTCGCTGTGTCTCCCGCTGTCTTCCTCCGGCGCCTCTGTGTCTCGCTCCTTCTCCTCCGTCTCTCTCCCTCGCTCAAGGACGCAGCTGAGTCGCCCTCAATTCGGTAACCTCTTAATCGGCTTAAGGCCGCATTGCATACTGGTGCGTTAGGCCTAATAATATCTCTTCTCCTGCAGGTAATGACATTCGTGCTAATGCCTGATTAGCCAAAAGCTGCAGGAAGCCCGCCAGCTGTCACCAGACGGTACCCATGCAAGCAGCACAACCTTAGCAGCGCCGGGGTTTAACTTCACAGTGCTCCCCAGCTCTGGGCGAATATTTACTCCCCATGCCGTGTCGGTAATACGGGTTGTTTGACCAAGACTTTAATTTGCCGGGCACTTAGTGTTGGTGAAGCGGGGGATAGAGAGAGGGGGAGGGGAATCCAAGAATCGGTTCACATATCACGGATGGTGGTAACTTTGGCTGCGGGCATCGAACTCAGGTCACCGGGTTTATTGAGCAACTGCGCCACCATTGCTTCACCCGAATTCGGTTTATGTTCTAGGGATAGTTTGTACTGTAGTTGGTAGTGTAGATCAGTGGTTCTTGACATTTACTCCAGCCTTGCACCCCTTTGGTTCTCAATTGCTAAAAAATGTGTAATGTTTATAAAGACACATGTTTGATGAAACAAAGTAAGTTGTACTTGCGTACCCGTGCTTAATTTGTGTATCGATGATTTGCCTTCTAAAAAAAATCTGGCCATGTCTCGCACCCCCAGAAAGGGTATCTCGCACCCCCACGGGGTGCATGCTCCCCAGGTTCAGAACAACCACTGATGTAGATATTGTTTGGGTCTTTCGGTAAAGCCACGTAGATAGAAAATATTTATTTTAAAACAATAAAAATAATAACAATATCACGACGTTTTGATCGCAACACAAGCAATCGTCATTAGGTGAAAAAAGGGGGAAAGCTGCTGAGGCAGGCTGTTTATAAAGGTTTAGAGATGGGCGGGGCAGCTAATGTTAATGTAGGAGAGGTCTCCGACACCGGCAGTAGGTCTACACCAATCAGAGAGCTGTTTATAAAGGTTTAGAGATGGGCGGGGCAACTAATGTTAATGTAGGAGAGGTCTCCGTAACCTGCAGTAGGTCTACACCAATCAGAGAGCTGTTTATAAAGGTTTAGAGATGGGCGGGGCAGCTCATGTTTATGTAGGAGAGGTCTCCGACACCGGCAGTAGGTCTACACCAATCAGAGAGCTGTTTATAAAGGTTTAGAGATGGGCGGGGCAGCTCGTGTTTATGTAGGAGAGGTCTCCGACACCGGCAGTAGGTCTACACCAATCAGAGAGCTGTTTATAAAGGTTTAGAGATGGGCGGGGCAGCTCATGTTTATGTAGGAGAGGTCTCTGATACCGGCAGTAGGTCTACACCAATCAGAGAGCTGTTTAAACCTTTATAAACAGCTCTCTGATTGGTGTAGACCTACTGCCCGTGTCGGAGACCTCTCCAACATTAACATTAGCTGCCCCACCCATCTCTAAACCTTTATAAACAGCTCTCTGATTGGTGTAGACCTACTGCTGGTGTCGGAGACCTCTCCTACATTCACATGAGCTGCCCCACCCATCTCTAAACCTTTATAAACAGCTCTCTGATTGGTGTAGACCTACTGCCCGTGTCGGAGACCTCTCCTACATTAACATTAGCTGCCCCACCCATCTCTAAACCTTTATAAACAGCTCTCTGATTGGTGTAGACCTACTGCCGGTGTCGGAGACCTCTCCTCAATGAACATTAGTTGCCCTGCCCATCTCTAAACCTTTATAAACAGCGTGCCTCAGCAGCTTTCCCCCTTTTTTTCATCTGATGACGATTGCTTGTGTTGCGATCAAAACGTCGTGATATTGTTATTATTTTATTATTTTTAAATACAAATTTTCTATCTATGTGGCTTTACTGAAAGCCCCAAAGAATATGAATTCCTGCAGTCACGAAAGCTTTAAGTCACTAATGTAGACTCAACAGCAGCACTCTATATATGTGCCAAATGTCAGCTCTTTCTCGGCTGTGTTGAACATCACTAGGATTTACATCACTCGTGTACTCACGCCACTCACGATAGTTTATTTGTAACAGACATGGAATGTTAATTTTATTCATCACCATAATTCATCACGTGCATTTCAGGATGTTTGATAATCAAGGACAGTAATGTATGATCGAATTTATATCTTCAGCAGAAAACAAAACATAAACATCACAGAACGCCATGCCTTCTGTGGCATTTGTATGTGAGACAGCATCAGGACAAGTGGATTGTGATCGCGGCTTCATCTCTGTTGACACTCATCAGTACATCTGGGCATCATTTCCTACTGCTGACATGTATGCCTGACTGACTTGTGCTGAGCAACTATCCACCAACACTAACCGGACAGATTTGGCACTTATTAAGGACGATGAATTCACAGCCTCTAAAGAGTGCACAACGGCCATGTGCTCTTTAGGGTGCTATTATCGTTCACCAGCCTGTACTATTGTGATGATGAGCATTTCTCGTAATTTTCAGATATTGATTATTGTTGGCATGAGCAAAGCTAATGTTGCCTCACCGTGTGGGAGTGATCATGCCAGGTACATGGCTCTCAGAGGCAGACTTTGCAGCAATGAGCATTGGTGGCTATACTGTGCTGATGAGTCTTAGTACGAATGAAACCGGTCCACGGTTGTCTTTATCCCGGGCTGCCAGTCAGTCGGTTACAGTTGTTCAAATTAATGTTTATGGTGACCGAAGACAAGAGGACCTCAACGCATTCTTTCAGACACTGCTGTTTGTTTTTCACAATTCCTTTGCTGTCTACAAATCCCTGCACAAACTCTTCTGTAGAATGCACCACTCGTGTATTTACCGCTGGTGTACGATGTTACCTTACATCGGTATGACATTAAGTGCTGACGAAGCGTGGTCACACAATAAAACACACCCTAATGCTGACATGGCATGGGGGGGGGGGGGAGGACGTCATCCATTGGTAGCTTGAAAATGGATGGCATTTATTCTATACGTTCACGTCAAACAAATCTTCGCCAAATCATTTATGGTACCGGGCCCTGAACTCGAGACGTTGTTTGAGCTCCGCCATGAGTGGGGGGCTCACTCTGGCCCCCTCGGAGCCGACCCCACGCGACCCTCCCGTCGACCTAAACGAAGGGGGCTGCCCCCCAACGACCGCGGACCCGGCCAGGGCCCGGTGTCTGCACGGATGCCCCGGCAGGAACGACCGCCCCGTCACCGTTAAGGGGCGAGCGGAGACTCCTGGCAGCAGCGGCGGCTTCGGCGGCGCAGACACGGTCTCCACGCCGCCTCCGCGGGGAGTCCCCGCAGCTCCCGCATTTGCGTTGGAGTCCGGGTACGGGTCACGCACGGGGGGGGGGAGACGGTTGCCCCGAGTCGGCCCGGCAGGCGAGCGCGCCGCCGCCATTGGGGCGGCGGCGCGCTCCGCGCCGGCCTCGCGCGCCCGCGTGGACGCGGCCGCCCGCTGCGCCCGCGTGGACGCGGCCGCCAGCTGCGCCCGCGGCAGCCGAGACGACGACGAGGCGTCGTCGCTGCGGCGCGACGCGGTTGGACTTCTTGTTGCGGCAGTAGGCGATGGTGGAGATGAGGGCGGTGAGAGCCACGAGGAAGGCGGCGAGGCCCGCCAGCACGCCGAGTGCCCGCATGGGGTTGTCGCGGTGAACGATGGAGCGCAGGGCGCTGAATTCGGCCCAGCTCTGAGGAACGAGTGCGGTCAATAGGCTTAATGTGTCTCGTTCGGTGCTTCCCAGAACGCTGTGTTGCCGAGTTGGCTTGGAGGAGAGGTCACCGGCATGAGGCACTACCACTGGAGTGCAAGGCACGCCTGCTTTTGTCCTCAACCAACTCACGGTATTTCTAAGAGTCTACGGGGTGCTTCAAAAAAATGATCACACTTCCGAGAATTTGCACGAGGAATGTGCCTCCCGGCTCTGGAGACCACCTGGAGAAAAATCCGGGCATTTTTTGACAATGATGGCGAACAAGTGCAGACTCTTTGACTTTTTTAAGCCATTAACATACATGTGTTATCATGTTACAGCGTATGATCCGTTCTTTTCCCATTAAAAACGATAGTCCCATATAAGTGTTAACAAATTTTGAAGCAACCTGTACTTTTATAGGAAAATATATTTCAAGGAATATATATGTTCATAGGAATGTAAATCCTGCGAGTTGGTTAAGGACAAGATCAGACGAGGAGATTGATGTGGCTGAGGATGCAACAGACATTCCCGGAGCAGTGTTTTGGACTCTTCCAGCTGAACTTAAGCCCCGAGTACGAGTGACAGTGGGAAATGATGGAGCAACGAGTGGCGGTGGATTTTTTTTGTTTGGGTTGGATTCTGTTTGAACAGTCGCAAAAAAACCACAGAATCTGATGAGCTGCGGTCGTGAATGGTGCGAACAATGCCACGATTGCCAAACTTTGTCGCGGCTCTTGGCCAATAAAATCTGCTAGGCTGACACGTGCGAGCCTGTCGCATGATGAGCCACGGCACTCGCACGGCAGCAGACAGCGAGGGATAGTCCCATATAAGTGCTTCAAAATTGGCTTGTGAACACACCGGCAGTACTCGACTTGGGTTTAGTTAACGGCCCTTTGTCAATTAACTGCTGGATGAAGGGCTCTAGAACGCCGTGTAGGCCGTGGGGGTTGTTTGGCCATACTTCACCACTCTGGTCAGCGCGGGTTCGTGAAGTGGGATGGGAGGTGGGTGGGGCCCAGAATCGGTTCAGATATCACTCGCTACGCATGTTAGCCGTGGCCGGGAAGTGAACTCAGCTCACATGGTCCAGTGCGCTAACCAATGCGCCACCGCTCCACCCAACGTATCTTGACGCCGGTGTGAAGATTATATGCGAAGCCCGTGAGGCTTACACAGCTTCTGTGTAACACGTCGAGTACGCTGCAGCAGCGTGGCCCATGTTGTCATGGGCCACGGTGTCATGGGCCACGGGTTGAAATCTGCCCAAATCGTCGTGGTATTTAATATCAGTAACTTTTTCTCACACTTGTCCACAGCATGTGGAACGGAGTGCCGTGACGCGGACGACATTTCGGCAGCTCCGTTCCTGTGGCAAAAACGAACGCGAAAAAGTGGTCACCACCGTTTATCAATTCAAATATTCCAAATTATGGTGAGACTCAGTTAGCTCGGTGGTCACAGCAATTAGCCGACA